ATTTTCTTTGGCTCTATAAAACCGACTTTCAATTGCACATTTCGTTCATTTTCAGGCTGAAGCTGGATCACAAACACACTTGATGACTCGAACTTAAAATCATCACAGATACCCTCAAGTACAACAATAATATTGTTAAGTTCAAATATTAAAGTTTTATCATAGCCTCTTACAATCCAATTATCAACATCTTAGAATTTTGACCTAGGCTCTGATACTAGCAGTTGGTATCAGAGCCTTCTCTAACTATTGGGATAGGAACTTGCTTCGAGCTTAGGTTGAGTCTGTGTCAAAACAAGGTTGAGTTTGAGATGAGCCTAAGTTAAAATCCTAAAAGCAACCTGCAAAATATAAAATGTGAAAAAAAAACTAAACTAAATATAAATATTTATTTTAAAATAAATAACATATATAATAGAATATATAATAATAAAACAAACCTGAAAGGATAGAAGTGAGAATTTGACGGTGGACCATGCTTCTCCCCATTCCTTCATTGTGCTATGAATCGCTTCTAAAACTACAACAAAACGATTCTTTGGATTTGGGCTACTAATGCCGTATATTTTCAGCATAGTTGAATCACTTTTGTCTTAGTACTTCAAAATCACACCATAGTCATGGAAATCACCATGCAATTTTCAAATACTACCTGGCGTTCCATTAGCTAGTTTACCCTTTGCAAGTACTTCGTCAACTTCCTCTTCAATGTAAAAGTACAATTGAATTCAAATTTAACTTCTTCTTTAATAAAATCGGAACAAACCTTGCAATTTAGTAATTCTTGAATAGATTTTGCCATAATTTACCTACATACATCATTATTTAAACAAAATATTAATTCAGTACACTAAATTATCAAATAAAAATTTAAAAAATCAACAGTAACACACAAACACACAAGCAAAATGATCAGTTTTTTTTTTTTTAATTCATGTAAGGTGAAATTAAAGAATTAAAGAATATGTCCAGAAATTACACTAACAATTATCAAAGAATCAAAGTAATGATATTACAGTGTATATATAATAAAAGTAAAAAGGGGGTGACTAGTACCATTTTTTTCCTTTTCCAAATTCAGAATAATCCACTCTAACATCTTCAAGGGTGATTTTGGTTTGGCAAGTTCCTGTACAATTTCCACCTGGATCAAAAGCAAATTCACTCCACCATGACATTTTAGGATTAACATAGAAGATATCATTTTTCCATTCATGTGGAACACTACTAACCCTTTTCATTTCACTTGCATTCAGAACTCCATGGGTGCCAATGCTTGACAAAGCTTGTGGTACCTTCATTTCATTGATTAGATCATAAGCTTTGGTGAGACGACTTGCACACCCAAGTAAATCACCCATTCAACTATAATGCTCCAGCTTAGGCTGTATTTGGAATATCTGTTCCATGGCTCTAAACCAATACCATCCTTCATCTACCAAGCCAACATGGCCACAAACAGCTAAGACATTGGAATTAACAGCTGCAACAATATCAACCTGAAGAAAATTCTTGAATGCTTTAAAGAGACGATATTGCTCAAAAAGAGCATCCAATTGAGTAGCATTCGATTCAATGCCCTCACAAATTTTACTGCCAAATTGAAACGGACGCAAGAATAGATCCTGAGACATGGAAACTGGAATCACAAATTTTACTGCCAAATTGAAACGGACTGAAGAATAGATCCTGAGACATAGGAACTGGAATTCATGCAAGGGTATGCAGGGGTGATGATTGGCATTTTATGTGATCCCAATCCTAAAGCCCACATCACAATACACGATCTCGAGGCATTAGACAATGTGATTTCATTTTGCTCAACACCATTACAAAGCATATCAAAGAAAAAACCCAGCGCCGTTCTAGAATCCCCTTTATCTCCACAAGCACATATAACAGAGGTCCAAGATATCACATCCTTTCCATCATGCTCAATTTTACCTTTCCCAACTGGAAGACAGAAACTAGAATCGAGAGCTTCAACTGATACAAGGAAGGACCCACTTACTCTAATCGCCGCTTCTGAATCTCCGGCGAAGATCGCCGCTTCTGAATCTCCGGCGAAGATCGCGGCCTCTGAATCTCCGGCGTAGATCGCGACCTCTGAATCTCCAGTGTAGATCGCCGCTTTTGAATCGCTGGCAGGGATCGATCCATCATCTGGAACTAGAGGAGGAGATCTGTTGAGTCCGAGAGCCTCCATCACCTCGTTTTTGAAGCTGGAAAACTCAGCTTCCATCCGAAGCTTAAACCTCTCCACGAAATCCGCAGTAACCTGAGACTCGACCACCTCAGCTTCAAGCTTGTCCAACTGAGCTTCCATGGTGGATGGGGGTAGGGTTTTGAGGGAGAGGGCTCTGATACCAATTGTAATGAACCTGTGATTGCAGTAAGAAAGAAGAGAGGAATAGCTGGGATTTACGATAAAATAAGGAAGAAAAATAGACAGAAAGGGATATGGAGAGGTAGAGAACAGAAGAAGGAGATAGGGTTGAGAAGAGAAATTAGGGAGAATGTGTATTCAGTTTCATTCAAATCTAGCGTAATCCCCAAATACAATCTAATCCCTATTTATATTAAAAGATAGCTAATAACAGAATTATTCCATATCTAAAATATCATTAAAAACTTCGTAACAACCCAATGAGTGAACTGTGTCGTTTCATGCCCTGCTATATTATCTGTTGGATGAGGTCTACTGTTGCGCTGCTGCTTATTGTGGTCTGCTGACCTGCTTGGGGTGTTACATCAAGCTGGATCACAAAACACTTGATGACTTGAACTTAAAATCGTCACAGATACCCTCAAGTACATCAATAATGCTGTTAAGTTCAAATCTTAAAGTTCTATCCTAGGCTCTTACCGTCCAATTATCAACATCCTAGGATTTTGACATAGGCTCTGATACCAACTGTTGGTATCAGAGCCTTGCCGAACCGTTGGGATAAGAGCCTGCTTCAAGCTTAGCTTGAGCCTGTGTCGAAACTAGGTCAAGCTTAAGATGAGCCTAAGTTAAAATCCTAAGAGCAACCTGGAAAATATAAAATGTGGAAAAAAAAATAACTAAATATAAATATTTATTCTAAAATAAATAACACATATAATAGAACACATAATAATACAAACAAACCTGAAAGGATAGAAGTCCGAACTTGACAGTGGACGATGTTTCTCCCCCATTTCTTCATTGTGCTATGAATCGCTTCTGAAACTACAACAAAACGATTCTTTGGATTTTGTCTACTAATGCCCTATATTTTTAGCATAAATAAATCACTTTTGTTGTAGCACTTCAAAATCACACCATAATCATGGAAATCACCATGCAATTTCCAAGTACTATAAGGTGTTCCATCAGCTAGTTTACCCTTTGCAAGTACTTTGTTAACTTCCTCCTCAATTGTAAAAGTACAATTGAATTTAAATTTAACTTCTTCCTTAATAAAATTGGACCAAGCATTGCAATTTAGTAATTCTTGAATAGGTTTTGCCATAATTTATCTACATACATCATTGTTTAAAGAAAATATTAATTCTGTACACTAAATTATCAAATAAAAATTTAAAAAATCAACAATAACACACACACTAGCAACATGATCAGATTTTTTTTTTTTTAATTCATGTTATGTGAAATTAAAGAATATGTCCAGAAATGTGTGTGTGTTTTCAAATGAAAACCTCTGCTATCATGTGAACATTTGTACCATTGTGCATCGTTGATCTTGCTCGATCTTGTGATTTATAATGATTTTGACCTGATAATATACATAATGGTGCATAATGGTACACAGGTTCACATGTTAACCAGGGTTCTCATTTGAACCTAATTAGGTTCAAATGAGAACCTATGCTGTCATGTGAACTTGTGTACCATTGTACATCATTGATCTTGTGATTTATAGTGATTTTGACCTGGTAATACACATCACCTCACCACTCTTCATATCTCAGCCGTCGAATATCACACCTCAACGGTGCATAGAAGTTTACATGTTCATATGATAGCAAAGGTTCTCATTTGAACCTAATTATATATGTATAGTTGATTGAGAAATTAAACGGTAGGGCCAAATGTGAAATGAGATATAAATTATATAATCATATGTGTAATAAAAAAAATTTAATAGTTAAGAACCAAATGTGATTCATGTATAATAGTGTTTTATTCTATCTAATACTCCGAATATCAAGGTTGAAAAAATTGCTAGGCTCCCTCTAGGCGCCTGGGGACCGCCTAGGGCGCCTAAAGCGATTAATCGGCGCCTAAAGCACCTAGGCGGGTGCCTATAGGGGTGTTCATTCGGTTAACCGAACCGAATTAACCGAAAATTTTTTTGCCTTAACCATTAACCGAACCGAAATGCGCTCTCCTCTACCGAATTAACCGAACCGAACTTTTTTTCGGTTAATCGGTCAGTTAACCGATTAACCGAAATTTTTAACCCTAAAATTGAAAATCCTAAAAATAACTCCTAAAATAATAAATTCAATTAAAATAAAATACATATCATAATAAATTCATATCAAAACATACAAAAATAATACCATTAAGTCCATAATCCATTTGACTATTTGGAATTTTAGTACATATTATATATTTATATTTAATATTTAATATATTATATATATATATTCCAAAATTCGGTTAACCGACACTTTCGAACCGAATTAACCGTTAACCGAATTTTGGGAAAACCTTTAACCATTCTCCGAATCAAAATATTTCGGTTAAAAAACGGTTAACCGAATTATGTCGGTTCGGTCAATTAATCGAAATTTCTCTGAAATTTGCACACCCCTAAGTGCCTAGGTGGCCGACCTCCTAGCGCCGATCCCCATTTTTGCAAACTGCCGAATATATTATGTTACTCCGTACAATTTAAGGAGTAAAAATGAAATTCTCAAAAAAAAAAAAAAAAAAAAAAAAAAAAAAAGAGAGTAAAAATGACATTTTCCCAAACTTATTTTTATCCCGTCAAAGCCACCGTCTGGTTTGACAGCAAACGGTACTTTGTAAGTGGTAAATCGAAACCCTAGTTCTCAGTTTTCACTCTCAGAATCTCTGTTCTCGTTTCTCCATTCTATCGCTTCTCTCCTCGAAGCCAATTTCTCTGATTGCTCTTACGGTGAGTCTCTCACATACACTCTCTGTCTCTCTTACAATGTTTTGAATGTGTATGCTTATATGCAGCGTCTATAGAGAAATTAGCATCCGAGTATGCTACATTCGCTAAATATATAATGATTTTTGTAAATTCCAATCTTAAATTTGAATAGATTATTATATGTCTTGTCTACCTAAAATCTGTTAAGTAAATGTGTGTTTAACCTAATTAAAAATCATGTTCATGTCTCGGTTTGATTCGTGTTTAGTCTTGTCCCGTCTCGATATTGTGTAAGATTCGATTCCTTGAGGACCCATTTAACATGAATTGCCAGGTCTACTCCAATTCCTGCAGAGGCTAAAGAGATGCGCCAAGAGTGATGGCCGGACAAGATGCACAACCTGTGAAACAACTTGAGGAATGCTCTGTTTCCAAGTTTGTATTCTTATTCATTTTCAATTTGCTATCTATCTATCTATCTTGCCAATATTAATATGCTAGAGTGTTTAGTTTTGAATCGAATCATCCAAGGAAATCGTTCACATTGCTATTTGAATTTGGAAGTGGAAATTGTGAAGTGTATGTATGTGTCTTTGAACTAAGTTGGCTATCGAAAGAGTCTAGCGCATCAAATTGATGAAATATAGAGAAGCTAGGAAAAGCCATCACATGGTACAAATCAAGATTTGTTCTTTGTACTAGCCTGCTAGGAGACAACATTTGTTTTTCTTTTTCAATCTTTCTTTTATAGATAAAGTTTCTAGATTTTCAGCATTGTGGGTTCTTGTAAGAAATAGGTATGCTTATCAAGAACTAGTTTTCACTACTGTGCATATATAACTATGATCTTTAGTAGCACAGATTGCTAAGGTGGGAAAGTTGGAAATTTTTTATGGCTTTGCTTTATGCATTAGCAGCTCTTGAAAGGACAAGGTTTAAAAAGGCGGAGGCGTAAGCCTCGAGGCGCATTGAGGTGTAAGCCTCTATATATTGCTAACTTATAAACATTGTTTATAAAATTCACCACAAGATCTCCTGGAGCACTAAGTGTAGTACTTTTCTTCGAATGATTCACCATGTTTAGATATAATCAACCTACACAAAGAATTAATAGGGTAAAAAATCAATATTTTTTTTTAAAAAAAAATCACTGCCAGCAGGCAGCAGTACTGTAAAAAGAAAACAAAAAAATCTGTAAAAAAATTGCCAAGTGTCCAGTATCTATGAAGCCACAATATATATATATATACACACACACACGAATACACAAAGGACATTACGCTGAGGGAAGAGAAGAAAAGAAAAACAAGAAAAAAAAAATGACGAAAACAGAAGAAAGTTGTTGCTGTCGCCTGGAGTTCGCACTTCACAGTAGCGTGTCGTGAGTCGTTTCTTCCTAGGTCAATTTGTTTTCCTCTAATTCTACTATAATTAGGATTGGGATAGATTGGGTTTATGGACTTTGCCTGCTATGCCTCAACAACACGCCTCAAACATGTGTTGAGGACTTGATGCACATGAAACTATGAAAGGCCTACTTCACCCAAAGAGGCGTATGCCTCAGCACCTTTCACTTACACCTGGTGCGCCTCAAAACTGCCTTTTTTAAACTATGGCTAGGGAGTCTCTCAACTTTAATTGATGACCTTACTTTAAAGTTCAAAAATATTTGGGTTCTGTATGATTATTGCTACTTAAGGCAACTGGCAGGGTTACACTTTGCTGCAGCAAAATGGCTTTATTGATGTAAATAAACCTAAGTTTTTACTATCAAGGTGGAAACCTCAGTTGATGCGGCCAATACGCTTATTTAAGGACACTTCTGAATACACATTCAGACTTGCAGGGAAACCATTATGTGGTGTTGACCCTGAAAATATATATGAATATCAATTTGTAGCCTTGTAGGCCGGAATATTCAGTACTTCTGTTACTTTAAAGGAAATGAAAATCTCAAGCTACCCTTTGGCAAGAAAATCATTTTAGTTATGATCTCCATGTTTGAAGACATGCAGCAGTGCCCCCTGAGGGCCTGAACCTCCTGCTGTTGTCTTTCAGTAGCTAATGTCCTCCCAAGAAAAATTGTTTTCAAATTACCTTGCAAATCAAAACTCCCAAGTTCAATTAGATGACTTGTTGGGAGTTTGCTTTTGCTGGGTAGGAGTTGACAAGTTTATTTTGGTGGCAGCTAACTGCAGTATAATTTTACAGCGAATTTGAATTTGAATGGAGAAATTGTCATTTTCTGTTAATTTATTTTCATATATCTGCTTCAATATTTAAGCCCTATTCCTGATTTTTGTTGCATTTTCATTCAACATTGCCATTTACAGTCATTGAGTATTATTTCTCCCTAATATTCAATAAGATCCTAGGGCCTATTAGATCAGCCTCCTTGGCACCAAAGGTTTTGTGAATTTGCTGCATAACATGGTTGTAAATCCAACAAAGTAAAGAAAGTATTTGTGTTTCTTAACATTTAGTTCTAAATTTCTTCAGTGCACTTGGGACATGGGTTTTTTCAGTAGCTGGTGCTTTGCTTGCAATACCTGTGGGGATAAAGCGGAAATCTTTGGCGCCCCTTGTATTCTTCGGGACAACTGGAACCATGCTTGATATAATTATGGGAATCAGTGCCTGTGAAAGAGAACACGCAGAACGCCAGAAGCTTTTGGAAGCACAAAATTCTGCTGCCGCAGCTGCTGATGCATTGCCCAATATTGGAGCCGGAGCCAGAGCCGAATCATGATGGCACTCAGGCACGCACGCAAATCACTTCTTTTGTTGGATTGCTTTCGATTCTGTGGCTGTCAAATTTTGGCATTTAGTCCAAATTTTTCTGTTAAACGTTTCTGTTAAAATTAGTCTAATAAATCATCATTACATTTATGAAACCAACAAGTGGAATACCATCTTGAAGTAAATGGTCATTACAATTGTGGTAAATACTCAATACAGCTGTGGGTAATGTTCATTGCTTTTGAATTATGTTCCATAAATAAATGTCAATGTTCATTCGATTTGTAAAAAAAAAAAAAAAAAACAAATGGCTACTTCAAAGCTTGGTGCACCAGGTAATTGGATTAATCAACTCAATTGAAAGATGGCAGTGAAACTGAAACCATCTCAAACTTGCCACTTTCCCAGTCTCTATTAGCATCAATATGAACCTTAAACTTCAATAAACTGTTCTTTTCTTTCTGCAGTAGAGTCTTTAACAAGATTAGCCAAATCCTATACAAGTTTGGTTTAACACCAACATCGTGTACTTTCGATCCAGTGCCTGATGAATGAGGTTTTGTATTTGGATTATCGAGAGTTTTGCAGTTCTTTTGTCTCTGATAGCATGCATATACTTCCTCAGCTTTAATGTTTCCAAACAAGAGCTCAGCAGCCTTATTCCTAACGAGAAGTGAAATATACCTTGAATCGTCCCATACATATAGCTGCAAAAAATAACAGTAATAAATAAAAATAAAGATTAAAAAAACAGGTTACTGAAAAATCAAATTGGAAATTTTTGGTACCAAGTGAAATAAGAAAAGATTTGTATGCATTTGTGTGTTCATATCCACAAAAGCTACAAGACAAGGATGTGGATGTGTTGAAAATGAACATGTGTCAAATATGTAAATAGATTAATAAGTTAGACTCTTTAGCTTATCCAATAGCCTAATATATACTATGCTCTTGTAATATTTCCTATGAATGTTATCCTCAATTTATCTCATTAATGTAGTCTATGTTCCCCTCTTCTCTTTTCAATTGGTCTCATATTTCAGTTTCCATAAGCTCTGGTGGGTGGGTGACTATTTGTCCCTTGTCAGACATTTAAAAATCTTAAGTTTTTTCAAATCTTTAATTTCAACAAATACGAATTTCCAAACCTTAAATCACTATGAATCTAAGGATAATGTTAAAATAGAATAAAGATAGCATTTCCCAAAAGAGGGCCACCTTGATGGAATAGATCCATGTTTCTAAAAGAATTGCATGATTTTTACATCTATCATCTATGACCATGTTGCATCTTCATGATTACTTATTTACACAAAATCTACAGAAATTCACTCCCTACCTTTCATTTGTGGACATATTTCTTTTTCGGAGGATAATTCACTAAAGTTAGCTGCTTTTGCAAAATACTGTATATACTGTTGTTCTTACAAAATTTATTTTTTGGAAAGTCTAAATCTCTGCTATCTGGCACTAAATGACTTTTTTAAGTGATTTCTTGCTGGATTTAGGCTTTACTTGTTTTTGTATAATATACTCTATACTTCCCACCTTAAAATGCTATGAAGTTAAAATTGGAAGATCAAACCATAAAAAATAAAAATTAAAAAAAAAAAAATTAAAAAAAAAAAAAGGGGAAATTGACGTTGACATCAACTCTAACAGCCAAGTTTGTTTTACAATAAAAACATAAAGGAATAAGATTCTAGAAGAAATGAAATAGAAAAGGAACTCTATTCCTTGGGTTGGTTCATAAAAACAAGGATAAAGGACTTAATATTCCATAGTTTGGTTTGCTTAAGAATGGAAAAGGAATATATAAAATATGACCAAATATATGGTAATTTTGTCCATCTTGCCACTATGAAAGCCATTCCACTTATATACAAGCAACTTTAGAATTAATCACTTACATCAAATGTAAATATTTAGCACTCCAAAGAATTTCAGAAAGTCCAAGAAAAAGGACAATGTAGTGACAAGGAAACATGAAATTCACTTTGTAATTAGTATTAGCATTCAGCCTTCAATGAATCAAGGGCCATGATTGCTTGATTTGCTTCTAACTTTTTAGGTGAAATTAGACAACAACAACAACCAAAAAAAAAAAAGATAACAAGCAAAATATGTTAAAAACTTGGTATAGAACTTACCATGAAGGGTCTATATATGTGTCGTACCACATGAAGGTGATTAGAGCTTTTCTGACAATAGAACTGAGAGGCCTCAGTCATGGTTGATCTGTCACAATGAAGAATCAAGCATTATTTTGTGAAAATGAAGATTTAAGCAGAGAACAACTTTATCTTTTCATACCCATGATCTTGATTTAATGGAGTCCCACATAGATGACAGCCAATACCAACTAAATCATCAATCAAGTTATTATCTTCAAGCATGAAAAGCCTCCTACTGATGAACAGGGTTTCAGTCTCAGATTCATGCAGATTTCTACAGGTGATTGGCAGAAAAATTTCACCGATAGAAGCATAGAAGCTTGCCTCACAGGAATCAAAAAGAAGGCATAATTCATTTAGGGAGAAGCAATCATGACATTTTGGCTCTTTATGCACTTTCCAGTTCAGTTTCAGCTGTTTCGACTGCAGAGAATTATAAATGAAATTAAATATTTTTAAGCATTTGAAGCACAAACAAGAAATGTACTTTTCAAGTTATGACAGACAAAAAAAATGCTCAAGAAAAATTTTAATGCAATGAATCCACCTGCCCCTCTAAATCAAACAAATACTGCTAGACGGACCTAAGATAGAATATAATATGCATTTACAGTGTATAATAAAGCCCGCCTAGAATCATATCCAATGTAGGAATTCTACTCTCCCTTTGACTATTTTGAGCAACTTAATGAAACTTCCACATAATTCAGTATTTGGTATTGTATCTAGACTATGCATCTATCCTTTTGAGAATGCTGAATTCAAATTCGACATGTGTAGAAATGCACATTATCAAAATCAAGAAAAAAAATTTACTCCCTGTATGAGTAAGATCATACTTGATAGTGGTTTAGTCCATCATTGACATACACATTTTCACTTTTCTGTAACCATCTGATAACTTTTTGAAACTTATTCTTTGCTGATGTACTAACTTGGCATCCCCCTGTCACATCATCCACATCTATAAATATTCAAATAAAGAATATATTAGCTCCAATGACTGGTGCAAGTTGAACGCTTGCATTTCTAGTGACTGAAAATGCTGTAATAATAATATGCAGAAATGCTTCAAGAAAAGAGATAGCAAATATACACACACAACTCAAGAATGGGCTTCATATGGTGACAAATGCTAACCGATTGGCCATTAAATTATGTTATGAAAGTGAAGAGAGAGGGTTTCTAATGTGTTGTCGTATATTGTCTCAAACTGTCATATAGAAAAGAGAATACAAAGCCCTATAAATAGGTACTAGAAGACTACATATAGGAAACACGTTTCCATATACCCTGCCTTCCTAAATCCCTAAGATTGCCTAATCAATAGGGATTCTATATATCAAATATATATTCTATATTCCATAACACTCCCCCTCAAGTTGGAGCATATATTTTAATAATGTCCAACTTGTTACACAAATGAGTGATAACCCAAAATAACTAAATAACAAATAACTCAAGTCCATTTAGGACACTCCTTTGAAACGAAAGCCTTGAACGCCACCAATGCCACGAACAACAGGTGAACACACAGTGACCGAACAAGCTTGACATTGGATACTCATACTCCCCCTCCAACGAAAGCTTCGAACGCCACGAATCCCACGAACAATGGGTGAACACAAAGTGACCGAACAAGCTTGAGATTGGATACTACCCCTGAAACGAAAGCTGTGAACGCCACCAATACCTACGGACAGTTGGGTGAACTCAACGTGGTGGACCGAACAAGCTTGGGATTGGACCCTCCCCTTGAACCAGAAGCTTGGACGCCTCCAATACCGCAACTCCGGGTGAACACAAAGTGGACCGAACAAGCTTGAACGCACAAGATAAAAAAGACAAACTCCAAACTGGAGGACACAAATTCTTTACTAGCAAAATGGAAGTATCTTACTAACAAAAGAGAAGCATGCTCCAATCAACGAGCATAAAAAAGGAGAGATAACACCAAACCGAGACACCACCAAAACAAGACAGCAACAAAACACAAAACGAGACAGCACTAAAACACGAAACGGACTCCATCCTTCTAGAGGTCAAGAACATAAAGACCCCTAGACGCAAGCCCTTCACCAAAAACCCTCTTCATCACCAGATTCCGAGACAACAGCAGCAACAGATATATACTCAGGCATACCCACCAAAAACTAAGCACAAACAGATCAAAAAACACACATCGTAATACAATCCTAATTCTGTTATATATCATAATCCTCCAATGTATTATATATTTTTTATTTTCTGGACATGAATATTATTTTTACTACAACCTTCCTAAATACAAGTCAGATTTCTGTGGAGTTCGGATAGAAAAAAGAAAACTTACGTAATTCTCGTCGTCTCTCATCGTCGATTTTTCTCTTAGTTTTCTCTGATGGAGCAGCAAATTAAGCTTTTCGTAGGAGGATTGTCACACGACACGAACGAACAAACCCTAAGGGATTACTTTAGTAAATATGGAGAGATCAGAAGCTCCGAGACCATTAGAGACCCAATCACTGGTTTGGGCAGAGGTTTTGGTTTTATCGTGTTCGCAGACAGCTCTGTTGTTGAACATGTCTTGAGTGATACCCATGTCATCCTCGGAAAAAAGGTGGAAGTGAAGGTGGCTAAACCCAAGGGTTCCAGAGAAGCTGTGTTGGAGACTCGTGTTAAGAAGATTTTTGTAGGGGGTGTACCGCCAGACTCCACAGACGAGGAATTGAAGGAACATTTTGAGAAATTTGGTACTATGGAACATGCCGAGATTAGACGTCCGAGGGGGTTTGGGTTTGTCACCTTTGAATCCGAGGAAGCTGCGAAAACTGCACTGAGAAACCGTTTCCAGTATATGAAGAATAAGACGGTGGAGGTCAAGGTTGCAGAGGTTAAGCCAAAAGTTGGCCTCAATAATGGTATGACGAATTCCCTTACCCTAACTTGTGGTGGTAACATGACTTTCCCAATTTTCCCTACTACTACTACTACTAACTACCCTTATGGTAACCCGTACTCGGTAAACTATGTTCCTTATTATATCCCAGTGCCTACCAGTGAATTTTGTTATAATAGTTATTTTCCTAGCTACTACAATGGTGGGAATTGGCAACATTTAAATAACCCTAACTCACTTCTTGTTACCTGACCACCCCTTGCCAATAGCCAACCTGTTGTTATCAGACCACCTCCTAGCTGACCTATTGTCATCCGACCACCTCCCAGTAGACCTGTTGTCATCCGACCACCCCCGGTAAAAGTAGAAGAACAAAATGGCAATGTGGCTGCGGTAATTGATGAAATACAAGATGAAATTGATGGCGAAAGTGTTACTAATGGTGAAGTGCAAACCCAAGATGAAATTGATGGGGAACTTCTTACCAAGGCTGTTGTAAGCGCTGGTGATTCCTTTTAAAGGAATGTATGTTTTTTTTTTAGGGGAAGGAATGCATGTTTTAGTTGTTATAATATTGTGTTGGATTTGTGAACCAATGACCGTAAATCTATGCATGATTCCTTTCAAGACAATTGCTTTAGTTGTTATAATATCATGTTATATTGTTTGGAAAAAAAAAAAAAAAAAAGGTATGAGTATCCAATCTCAAGCTTGTTCGGTCACTGTGTGTTCACCCGTTGTTCGTGGCATAGGTGGCGTTCAAGGCTTTCGTTTCAAATGAGTGTCCTAAATGGACTTGAGTTATTTGTTATTTAGTTATTTTGGGTTATCACTCATTTGTGTAACAAGTTGGACATTATTAAAATATATACTCCAACTTGAGGGGGAGTGTTATGGAATATAGAATATATATTTGATATACAGAATCCCTATGGATTAGGCAGTCTTAGGGATTTTGGAAGGCAGGGTATATGGAAACGTGTTTCCTATATGTAGTCTTCTAGTACCTATTTATAGGGCTTTGTATTCTCATTTCTATATGACAGTTTGAGACAATATAAGCACATTAGAAACTCTCTCTCTTCACTTTCGTAACAGATTATCAGTTCAAGCCCTATAAAACATCTCTGTAAAACAGAGTTAGTCAGTTAAGTGCCTACAGGCTACATCTTCCTCTCCATAACCTGTATGGCTGCAAGATATAAAATCCTCTGACACTAGGTTCGGCCTTTATAGCTTATACACATGGCAATTGGCAAGTTGGTTAATTGTATACATACAATTAGCTGGTTGTGTAAAATTGTAAGTAAATATAGGGAGCCTTAGAATGATTTATTGATAGAGTTACATATTACTCCTGCTCTCCCATTTTACTATTTAAAGGTCAAACTAACCTTTTTAGATAAGTTTTTAAAGGTCAAACTAACCTTTCTTATATCAGTTTTTCTTTAACATTTCTTATAATTTTAAAATTTGATTATTTGTGTTTAATAAAGCTTTTTATGTAGTTTCTAAATACAAAGTAAATAATTTTTATTGCCTAATAAAAATCTAATTAATATAATTAAAAAAAAAAAAAAAAAGTGTAAACAACTTTGGATCAATCCTCATTAACCGAACATGTATTTCTATATACAAGTAAAATCCCTAACATGTATTTAAATGTTTACCCAATGTAGGATAGACACACTACTTAACAATTTGTAAGATGAGCTTCAAAGAGCAAAAATAAAAAATAAAAAATAAAACAAATGGACATATTCTTTTTTTGAAACAAATGGACATATTCAAATCACATAAATGCATAGCCAGAAATTTGCCTTCCATTTCCATATAAAATAAAAGAAACTGTTACCCTCTTACTAAGGCAGAAAAATGAGCAGCTTAAAATATATGAAAATGTTAACCCAACATGACCTCTTTGTAATTTCAAATACCAGAATATAACTTGCTTTGTCATTAGGGCTGCAACAGACTTCTTGCCCATTTATAGAGTACCCTAAACTTTACGGGCACTTCATGCCAAATTGCTTAGGCCCTAAAGCTCAAGCATCTTTTTCTGCCAAGCCTTTTAAGATCTCAATAATCAACAGCCAAATTTATCACCATAAAGCTCCAATGGCATTTTTTAGCAATGTTTTTCCTTCTTTTTTAATTTCTCTTGACAAGTTGACAGTAGAGATGTAGTTGAAGTATTAAAGTTTATTATTAAAAGCTTTTCTTAATCAACTGGTCCTTATCTCCCACATTAATCCACCAGAAAATTTGCAAAATAGAAATTTGAAGTCTGACTTTCACCTTATGAATACTAGTAGTGTTAGACAGTTCTAAGACATCAATAAATCTTGCAAAGGATGAATGATACCTCAACTGCTTTCTTATCTAATGTAGATTTCATTCCAGGTGTAATACAAACAGAAAGAACATCAACAATGGATAATGATATACACATAAAAAGCCTGACGTCTAATAAATAGAAATACCCAGCAAATCAAGACTTCATCCTATTTTATGTATAATTTCTCATTCTTGACGTCCATTTAAAAGGTCAGGTTAAGAAAAATAAAATAAACACTATAAAACGAAGACAGGTATCAAGATGGGGAAGAAAAATACACACACACACACACACACACACAAAAAGCAAGCCACAGATGTAATCTGCATGTGTCTGAGAGAAAGAATGGACCTTTAGAAAGTATTGATTCATATCTCTGGACTAGACATAGGATGGATGAACAGTGGAGAGTTTTGGCCTCCACTCTCTCTCCAAATCTTGTAATTTTAACATCTGAAGATGGCAAACAAAATAGAAATCCTAGAATGACTGCAAGAGAAGTTGAATACACATTCTAGGGTAAAAAAAAAAAATGCAGAATCTACAATTTCACAATCAACATAAATGGAAAAGCTGGACAGGAATGAAAATTGAACACACATGAACTTGCAATTTCAAAAATGTTAAAAGGAAAAAAGGATCAATGCAAAATTCCTTTTTTTTTTTTCCCCTTTTATATATATATATATATATATATATATATATATATATATATATATATATATATATATATATATATATATATATATTTTGCAGGGAAGATTGGATAGAAGAAGAAAAATTATGGGAAATCTGTAAGAAAGGTCTGTTCTAGGAATCACTCAAATGAGTAAACGTCCAAACAGTAAAAAAATATTGGAACCATCAATAAATCTCCATAGGCATTATGATACCAATACATTTTCTAGTACTAATTTTCATCAAACATATTACCCTCCTATAAATACCTCTAAATGGTAAATAATTCAAGTATCCATTTCAACACAAAACTGTAGATATAAGGGAAATCATATGCCCAGGTTCATGTATCTACACAAATTCCGTCAAGTGAACGTTTATCATGTTTAAACTGAATATTCATTACTAATTTCTTCTTCTTCTTTTTTTTCCCCCCTTTTTGCAAATAAAGTTGCTATATTTCTTGTATACATAATTCTTTAAAACAAATAATTGGATCGAGAGTCTCAATTCTCAACGAAGCAAAAGAAAGAAACAATGTGAGTTCAGAAATGGTAGAGCGAAAATACTACAAGTATACAATGCATACTCTGTAGCAAAACGACGGTGCCGGAAACAATCTGGGAGGCGATTTGGTTGTGCCATATGGACACAGGGAAATAGGTGCGCTTGTCATCGCCCACCAGAACGTCCGTCCTTATCACTTCTCTTCCTCCGCTTTTCGTCAAGATCTTGTACTGCACAGCACCGATAGGAATGGATACAAAAATGTACACTTTCCGTCTGAAATGAGGGAAGCAGTTGGGGATTAGGGTAGAACCTGAATGGGAGTTGAGCGGTGAACGAAGACTAGGAGTTGCACGTAGGCGTCGATGTAAGCCGATGCGTCGGAGAGGTCAATTATAGGGCCGTATTTCACGATTGCCGCCATGCCCACATCTGTGCAAGGCAGACGTTATGCCATGGAACCGTTGGTGAACACGGTTCTAACGGTGTTAGTATACCGTTATCTTTTTTTTTTTTTTTTTTTTTTTATAATTAATTGCGTGACTTTTCTTCTTTATTTTCACATTTTGTGGTTTCACTTTAATTTGAGGTGAACAAAGATTTCGGACATTCATAAATTATGAATTCATGCCTGCACATTCACTTTGAAACCATGCCTACACATTCTTGTCCGAAATCACGGACATTCATAAATTATGAATTCATGACTGCACATTCACTTTTGAACCATGCCTACACATTCACTTTGGAACCATGAGATTATGAATTTTCTGTTATAAGATTATGAATTTTCAGTTATGAGATTATGAATTTTCAGTTATGAGATTATGAATTTTCTGTTATGCGATTATGAATTTTCTGTTATGAGATTATGAATTTTCATTACATTCATAATTTCGGACATTCATAAATTATGAATTCATGCCTGCACATTCACTTTGGAACCATGCCTATATATTCCCGTCCGAAATCACGGACATTCATAAATTATGAATCCATGCCTGCACATTCACTTTGGAACCATGCCTACACATTCACTTTGGAACCATGAGATTATGAATTTTCTGTTATAAGATTATGAATTTTCTGTTATGAGATTATGAATTTTCAGTTGTGAGATTATGAATTTTCTGTTATGAGATTATGAACTTTCATAAAATTCATAATCTCATAACAGAAAATTCATAATTTGATCAAACGCGCGCCGTTAACTCCACATCCGCGAAATATTTTTTTTGGGCCTAAAAACGACGTCGTTTTGCCTTGTGTTCACCATTCTCGGTGAACACGATTCCATGGCATAATTTGCGTGTGCAAGGGTTCTGTTTAATAAGTTAAGTTTCCGCGGGCGCGGGGATTTTGTGGACCGGGTCCACCTTACAATATCACTTTTAGATTTGGAAAGAAGAAAAATGAGTTATTTTTAAAAAAAATATTTTTTTTTTTAGTATTTAATATATTTTGAAAAACTTAGTATGTTTAGTTTATTTTGTAAAAAAATGAATAGAATTGTATGTTTAAGCATTTTGACAAAAAATAATTTTTTTTAAATTTTAGCAGAAATTATTTTTTGTTAAAATGATTTTATTTTTTTCAATTAACGAAATATATCTTAACTGAGTTTTCTTATCTTATCTTATATATTATCTAAATACTGAAAACTCAAAAAATATGTTTTAGACGTTATTTTTTAATTTTTACACAGATCCTTAATATAATTAAAGGTGAAAATTTGTATAAGTTTTAACGTAAATTCCGAGAGGCTAATTAAGTGTTCTTAACGCACATGGCGATGAGGGGAGTAGGAGGCCCTTTGTTGTGCATAGGCGATCTGCTCAGCGACGTCGGCGAAGAAGGTAGCGCCTCCGACAACCACTCCTCAAGGGGCGTTGATCTCAAATCTTCTCATTTTCCGGAATCCGCTCCCAGTCTTAAACCCTCCGATCTACCTAAGCTCTTTCAGGTGCCTTCCCTAATCCCTACCCTGCATAACTGGTGATTTTATTTTCCCCTGTTTTAATATGCGTTTGAAGAGCTAGTTTGTTGTTTCCTTGGTATAAATGTTCTTATGTAAATTCAATACAACACACTAGCACTGATTCCAATTTTCCAATACCCTCAGATGTAGTCTCTTTTCTAATTCCTTTATATGATATGGGAGATTCAAGGTTCTCTTTAAAAATTTCACTGATTGATGTCATAATGTGGAAAGGAACAATCTCTGAAGTTCCTTGAAATGTGCTACAATTTCCCAATACAACAGATGTTCTTTGTAAACTAGGTGCATATTTATTCAAATAGCTTTCTTAGTCTATGTGAATGCTATCGACTCTATTACAATGTAGTATCTGTGCATACAGACTTTTGAACCTGAGACCTCTCATTTGAGGGGCCACGGCTATGGGGCTCGACCACAAGGCCTTTGGCGAAAAAAAAAAAATGGATATGTGAAGTCATGAACTTCAAATCTCGAGGAAATTTTGGCAAAAAGTAAAAAATAACTAAAAATTAATAGCTTGGAGGATTGTAATTCTATGTATTCATACAGAAAGAAGTTTGTGGGTGAAAAATAAACATGGATATAGAAAGGGGTTTGAGTAGAATGGATTGTAGGATAGTTCAACATTATGAACCTCATCTCTTTGTGTGATGGATTGATAATGGAAGCAAATTTCTATACTTTGACATAGTACAAGCAATGGGATTGATCCTTCTAGTAAGATAATGGATTGATAATTGAAGCTAATTAGCTATAGTCCAATCAACTAAGAGATATAAATCACAATCGACATAATTAAATCAGCCTACACTCTTAATTTTAGAAATTCATATGGTAACCCAACCTCAGCTAGGGATTTAGCTTAAATAAATCATCAAGAATTTCATACACACAATGCTCATGGGGACAATTAATTTAATAGAATAATCTAGACTAAAATAGAAGGGAATAAAAACTCAATAAGAGAAGCCGGAACATGCTTAGCAGCAGAACAATTCAACAAGCTCCAGAACAGCATGCAGCAACCTGCAACAGTCCACAGCAGCAATCACCAATGCCAGGTTGGAATTAAAGAAGGTGAAGATGGTTGTGCATAAATTGAAGGGAGATGTTGTTGCCGGGTCAAAGCCTCAAACGCATTTCCCAAATGCTATTTTCCTACTTTAGTCTAATTTTTAAAACCTTCCCATTTTTGTCCACCAATCTAAAAAAATTCTCATTTTTGTCAATTTCCCTCAATACCCTATCATAGTTGTATTACAGACAGGTCACGAGTTATTATTATTGATGAATACAATTTCTATCTTCTTTTTTTTTTTTTGGGTATTATCCATGTATTTTTTTGGCGTGTAACCTGACTTTACTTGGGGGAATAAACCGTGAATCCTGATGTGTTTCGACTTGTCTATCCTTCCACTTTGCACTGCGTCATTTATTAATTTAGATATGCAGCTAATTTCCTATGTCTTCTCTAGGAAAACTATGAGAAGCTGAATGATGCACTTGCTGGTACAGATCATTCATGGACCGATCTCACACTTGAAGTAAGGGTTAATTTGATTCCTACAAGAAATCTATATAATTCTAAGAAATGCTGCAATAATTGTTAGTTTTATGTATGGGCTGAGTCTTTATTATCAATTGAAGCATCACTCAAGTATGTGTCTTGTGCGACTTTTGAGTTTTGACATCTATCTATTATTATTTGACGAAGTACTACCTATTATTTGAATTTGAATACAATCCTCGTTTTATACGATTTTGTCTCATAATATGTGCCTCGTATATGTTGTTGACTGAATAGAACCTTGTTGTCTCCATTTTGTTCCAGTTGTGCTATGCTTTGGAGACCACCAACAAATTGGTTCACTCTACAAATTGTAATGTTGGCATGTTGTCTGATAATGTTCAGACGCTTCAGCAAATGATTAATCGGAGAGATTCAGATATAGCAGCAGCAAAAGCCATTCAAAGTTCACTGGAAGGAAGGGGAACAACTGGTGCTGAAAAGCATTTCCAAAATTGAAAGGTAAAGACTTGTCATTTTAGTTCACCCTTACCTTCTTCTTCTCCCTCCAGAATCAGCATTAACAGTGTACTAAAGGATGCAAAATCTTGAGATTTATTTGTACAATTTGACAGTTATTTTATCGTCCTTGAACTTTTTGCCCTTTTTGGCAGTTAAAATGTTGTTCAGTACTGGATGTATGATGCTATTGTACAGTTCAAGCATTCACAAACAAAAATTCTTATATTGAAACAATAAAAATGTATTATTCTTAATTATGACATTTGAAAAAGAGAGAGAGAGGCAAAAAAAAAAAAAAAAAAAGCTCATCGTCTATAAATAGTGAGGATTTTGGTGTGATTTTTTAGCTGCCAACTAGGAGAGAGAAGAAAAAAAAAAAAAGAAGAAAAAACTGACACCTCCCGAAAAAGTCAGGAAGTCTGATGCCTTGGTGCCATCCATTGCTCCACGTACGACTTTCCAGGCTTCTCTTTCACTTTCTCTCTGTTATTGGGCCCACAAAAATCTCCATATTGCAGGAGAAAAGTTTAGCTAAAGTCTTCATCTTTCATTTGTGAAAATCTCCTCCATGGGATTTTGTTGTCCTACAACTTGGTGAAGACCCCCATTAGGGGATGCCCTAAGGAGAATGAGGATGATAAAGATAAGGGATGGCTAAATGCACTCCTCAAGACCTCAACCCCTTCCCAATGGTCAAAGGCACAAAAAAATGTTTGATTTTAATACATACAAGTTTCAACCTTATTGCTCGAGTCTTGCATGGGAAAATGCTAAATGCGGTAAATTGGGAAAGGTGCTTCAACTGCACTAGTGATTTTTTATTTTTGTAGGATTTGAACTTTGCACCAAATGGTTACTAGCAAAACAAAGCTTATGAAACTATTTTGAGTTGGTTGACTAGTTGAGTTGTACCTTAGGGATACGTGTGCGTGTGTATGTGATAGTATTTGCAATATTTGCTCTAGTGAGAAATGAGAGTGTATTTGCTCTAGTGAGAAATGAGAATGAATCTCATTCATCTATCGCAAAAACGAATGGTTATAAATTTATGCTTTAAAAAGAGATGGTGATATTTTTGTAAATAAATATAACTTTGAATGAATAAACCATTGCATATTTATTCCAAAATGATGCGTATTTAGGCTTTCTAATCTATATGTGTATTTATATCAAAACAATGTATATTTGGATTGAAACGATGTATGCTTTAACCTTGCGTATTTAGTCTAAAACAATGCATGTGAATGAAGTTAGCTTAATTCATATTTAGTCTAAAACAATGCAAGTTTTTGCTTAAATAATATGGGTTTTCTCCCAAAGGAATAAGGTTCAAATTGGCCACTCAACGTAACTTGAAAATGCAATTAGGCCACTGAACGAAAAAAAAGTGCAATTAGACCATTGAACACTCAAAAAATGTGCAATTAGGCCACTGAACTCTCCAAACGTATGCAATTTTACCGGATAGCAGGTTACCATCAATTTTAGCAGGTTACCTGCTTACGTGGCAGCTTAGTTGGCATTTTTAATAATTTTTAAATAATTTTTAATAATTAATTTTAATAATAAATTTTATAAAAAATTAGAAAAAATTAAATAAAAAATAAAATAAAGTCGTTTTTATTTTTTTAAAAAAAAATTTAATAAAAAGTTATTATTAAAATTTATTAAAAATTAATTAAAATTTATTAAAAATGTCAACTCAGCTGCCACGTAAGCAGATAACCTGCTAAAATTGAGGGTAACCTGCTATCAGGTGAAATTGCACATTTTTTGAGTGTTCAATGGCCTAATTGCACTTTTTTTTCGTTCAGTGGCCTAATTGCATTTTCAGGTTACGTTCAGTGGCCAATTTGAACCTTATTCCTCTCCCAAATGATGTGGGAAAAACTTTTAAATACTTATAAAAATATCTCATTGTCTTTCATTTAAACCCATGCATAGTTTATTATATTTTTTTTCAAAATGGTATTGTATTTTCTCTAAAGTGATGCATTCTTTAATCCAAAATGACGCTTTTCTTTTATGACATGTTTGGTTCATGGAATAGGTCAGGAATGGAATAACATTCTTTAGAATAAAACTTATGCATATTCTTGAGTTCTTGGGAATAATTTATTTTTGTAATGTCTAATTCGCACTATTTTTGTTACGTATTAAAAATGTACTCTATAATGATTAAAAAAAAGTACTCTATAATGATAATAATAATAAGTGTCACTTTAATATTCACTAATAAAAAAAAGTAGGAGGAAAATAATTTTTTTTTTAATTACATTTCTCATGCACACCTTGTGTAAATCATGCATCATTGAATAATGGGAAATTAGGAAGAAAATATTTTGGCCATATTTGGTAACATAATTAGTTTATCAGTTAATTTTAGTTTATTTAATTATTATTAATTATTTAACTTGGTTAAACATTTAATATAAGTGTTTGATTAATTAGTTTTTTTGTAACAATTTATTGTTCTAAAATGCTTAAATTTTAAAAATTGTTCAAAGTAATTTTTTGATAAGTTTATGACAAAGTCATTTAGCATGTACTCAACTAATTTATCAAACATCTTTCTATAATCAATTATCAACTAATCAAACTTACTAATCCAATCAGTTAAAAGCTACTCAATATATTTAACAAAACGCCCCATTTTTCATTTTAAAAATATATAAGACAATGAATATTGAGTTATACTACATGTACTTCCAAATCTTACTTTCTAAATTTTACTTCATAATATGGTGAGCACTAATAAGTTATTTTTTATTTTTTTATTTTTCACAAAAAACGTTTTCACGATGCTCTGAGGCAGGCAAGTTACATGAAGAATAGTAGAATCTATGATGCAACGAATCTGAGTCTCCCCAATGTACCTGGACGCTCCACTCCTAAACTCTGAAATGCTCAGATTCAAACCATTCACTCTCTCCTCCTTCTCACTAATCAAGTTCCACACTCCAAAAATATCCGTCGCCGGTGGCCTGACTAGGACTACAACGCTCTCCGGCTGCGCATTTCCGATGGCTAGCTTGTCCACTGTTTCTACTCAGAACGAGGAAGCCGCTTCGGACCCTACCCCAAAGCCCCCTCAGGTATCCTCCGTTGCTTGATTCATCGATTTCTCTTCCAATTAGGTTCTGCTAAACTGCTACGAACTTTGCTAATTGCTAATTGTTAATTGTATCTACTTCCGTGGCTATTTTTTTGGTAATTCTGTTGCATTCATTCGCTATTTTGCCAACACATAGCTTTCTGCTTGCTCTTAAGGGTTAAGATTGGGAATCTCACAAGTTAGGTGCTAAGTAGCCAAGATGGATTCTAATCATTCTATGGTGTTTCTGCATTTATATGTCTTGCAGTAGGACTTTAGATCTCTCTATATTAGTATTTACGTGTGGTACTTGGAATCTTTAGATATCTCAACAAGTACATTCATATGGCTAGGGTGATGTAACAGTAATTTGAAATTTGATTGACGGTTTATCAAGGGCGGATTAATCATGCTAGAGCTGTAACAACTAATGTGGAAGTTGAAACTTTGGATCCCTATTGCAGTTCAACCTCTTTTCTTTTTCTTTTTCCTTTTATTTGTTCCTTGTATTTTGACAAATTTCCTCATTCCATCCCCAGAGCCCATGTGGACTGGATCTAGACAAGGTTGCTTGAGATGATGGCTTGTTTAGTTCATATCAGAAACCATTGAGCTACTAAAAATACTGTAGGACTATTGCACCTTTACAGATAAACTTTATCTCAATAACTAGTGTTTGCAGATAAACCATTATGCTATGTTAGGTTAGCATGTATAGTCACTTATTTTTTTCCTAGGCGCATTAGAGGGAGATAATAGATTAATACATTGTTAGTATAATACTATAATATACATGTGATGGAACACATATAATGATGCACTAATTTTATGAAATCAGTTATCCCTAGTAGTTTCCTTTTATTTCTTAAGTTACTAGAGAACTATGACTTAAATGAGTTGCTGTGCAAAATGGTACTGGCCAGACATGACAAGGAAATGATCATTATACCTTAGGTAGAATACTACTTGCCAGCTATTTTGTTCTGCCATTTGTTATAAATCTTAAGCTACCCCAATATCATGTCAAGGTTGACTTCTTAGTGAGTAATGACTTTACAACAAGGTCATGCATTTAGATTTGAACTTAGCTGCTACTGTTCAGTATTACTTGGCTTTCTTCCATCCCTACTTTTTTCTTACTCTATTTTCAATTTTCATATCTATGTGAGGAGAAAGAAAATATGCATAGCAAGTGATATTTGCTTAAAATTGATGTTGTAAATGAAATATCTTCCCTTTGTTCTCGAGATTAGTGTAATCTGTGAATCACTCATCACAAGTGAAAAGTTCCTATCTGTGGTAAAATGCTTCATCTTGAGATATCATGATGCAGTCATTGTTCAGGGTTAATGTTTATTATCTACAAGTGCAATGTAACAATCACAAGGGAAAAATTCCTACGTGTGATAAAATGCTTCATCTTGAGATATCATGATGCAGTCATTGTTCAGGGTTAATGCTTATTATCTACAAGTGTAATGTAACAATATTTCCCATTTTCCCCTTAATTGTCAGTTTCAATTTTCCAAAATGTCTATGTGTTTTGTTTTCTGTTTTTTCCGCATCATCTTGTTGGTTGTTGAACCGACTCACTTTCTAGTTTAGCATTTGTTGAAGGCTTAATCCATTCTTGCTTGGTACTTCACCCTCACTCTCAGAAATTATTTTGTTTTATAATCATTATTAAAGAAGAATCTGCTTCTCCAAGTCAATAGCTTTCTCATTGAAATTATGTGTATGCTATCCAAATGGCTAAAAGGTTGCCAAGTTTCTCCTTCTCTCAATTCTTATAAACTGCCAGTCTTCTATCCAAATTTAAGTTCTCCAATTCTTTTATCTTAGAAAGTTCTTGGTTCTTCCTATTTTCCTTCTCTGTATAAGCTGTACCTCCTCATGAATGTCTAGTGAATGAATATTCCCATGATATAAGAAGTACTGGATGAATATGCTAGTGGTAAATGGCACCAATATCAAATGGTGGTGTGGATATGTTGTTGGGGTAGGTAAATGGGGGTTAGGGCTAGGCAAATAATGTTGGGGAAGTAATTGATATGGTAAAAAAATAATGTTGTGGTGGTGAGTAAGTAGGTAGGTGGTGGTGGGGATATTGGGTAGTGGTAACTAGGGGTGGGTAGGTCGTAGTAGAGATAAGTAGGAAGGAAGTTGTGGGAGGAAAGATGCAATGATTATAATGGAGGTAGTGGTGATGGTTGGGGGTAAGTGGTGTCAAAGGTAGATAGACAGGTGAGGTTGAATACTTGAATTGCATAAATAATGATAATGGTGATTATAAATGAAGTTATATATGCTTTTGTATGTGAAAAGTTTGGAAAACATTTAAGTTTTTTCTAAATTTCTTTGTTAAGTTGGAAAAATGAAGAATTCTACTTGATTTTGAAAAGAAATCTTTGTCTTTTATTTTTTAAGGAAACTGGAAAATTCTCCTGTTATTAAACAAGCCCCATGATCTCTTAAAGTGGATTTCAACCTTATAGAAATTACATAAATGGATAAATAATTCTTTCTAATTTTCTCCTTAATTGGTCTTTCTTTCCAGGTTGCAAAGCGCTTGGAGAAGTTCAAGACTACAATTTTCACCCAAATGAGTATGCTTGCCATCAAGTATGGAGCTATAAATCTTGGCCAAGGCTTCCCCAATTTTGATGGCCCTGAATTTGTAAAAGAAGCAGCCATTCAGGCAATCAGAGATGGTAAAAATCAATATGCTCGGGGATATGGTGTTCCTGACCTCAATGCTGCTGTAGCTGCACGATTCAAGAAAGATACTGGCCTTGATATTGACCCAGAGAAAGAAGTCACTGTCACCTCTGGTTGCACTGAAGCGATTGCTGCAACCATGTTAGGCTTGATAAATCCTGGTGATGAGGTCATACTTTTTGCTCCTTTCTACGACTCTTATGAAGCTACTTTGTCTATGGCTGGTGCAAAAGTAAAATGCATTACTCTACGCCCCCCAGATTTCTCTGTCCCCATTGATGAGCTGAAATCAGTTATATCAAAAAGTACTCGTGCAATCCTCATAAACACCCCACATAACCCAACAGGAAAAATGTTTACCCGAGAAGAACTCAATGTGATTGCCTCACTGTGCATTGAAAATGATGTTCTGGTTTTCACTGACGAAGTTTATGACAAGTTGACATTTGAAATGGAGCACATTTCCATGGCTTCTCTTCCAGGAATGTATGAAAGGACTGTTACCATGAATTCATTGGGGAAGACATTTTCCCTTACGGGCTGGAAAATAGGTTGGGCAATAGCTCCCCCACATTTGACCTGGGGAATAAGGCAGGCCCATTCTTTCCTTACCTTTGCTACATCTACTCCGATGCAATATGCTGCTGCAACAGCCCTCAGAGCACCGGATTCTTATTATGTGGAGCTTAAGAGGGATTACTCAGCTAAGAAGGCCATATTGGTGGATGGGTTGAAGGCTGCAGGCTTCACAGTGTATCCATCAAGTGGAACATACTTTGTGATAGTGGATCACACTCCTTTTGGGTTGAAAGATGATGTTGCGTTTTGTGAGTATCTCATAAAGGAGGTTGGAGTTGTAGCCATCCCAACCAGTGTTTTTTATCTAAATCCTGAAGATGGCAAGAATCTTGTAAGATTTACCTTCTGCAAAGATGAGCAGACACTCAGAAGTGCTGTTGAGAGGATGAAAGAAAAGTTGCCAAAGAAATGAAAAGAAGCCCCAACAGGTATTCTTTACTTTACTGCTCCATAGGGAAAGTCTATGGTGTCCACATTTATCATCCTTAATAATACATGGCATCACAACAAAAAGGAACATGATACACTGTATATAATACATAGCATCCCATTGAACTAAAGCTAAATATTAATGGTATATTGGTATCAAAACAATAACATGTTTGGTTCATGGAATAACATTTTTGGGAATAAACATATTTCATTGTTTGTTTGGGCTTTTTATTCCTAGGAATAACATTCCAGGGAATGATCTATTCTCTTCGTAAGGGAAATAACCATTCCTAGGGAGAGTCTGGTAATCTGGTATTAGCAAACATACTATACCATTATACATATATAACATAAAATACACACACACACATAATTAAATATAATTACATATATATAAAATATAAATATAACTGTGTGTGGGGGAAAAATTGCACTTTTGATCCCTCCTTTTTTTTTTTTCTCAAGTTATATATTTAGTCCCTCTCTTTCAATACTTAAATGAAAAACGTGGTGACAATTTTGTATAGATGCAGAACTTTCATTGCATCATTTAGACATTTAGGGGTAAAACTACAATGTTTTGGGGAAATCTTTCTAAAATATGCAGAGGTTTAAATGAAAAACACACTAGCATATTTGTAAATACGTAGAGGTTTTTCACGCATCTATTTTGGGATAAACCACATCATTTTGGAGAAAATGGTCTTTGTTTTGGCCATGGTTGAAAAAATTGCTAAGCGCTCCTCGGGCGTTCAGGGGGTGCCTAGTGCCTAGGCGGCGATTAATCGGCGCACGTGTATTTTTTATTTTTTAAAAATTTGTTAATTTTTTTTTTAATTACTTAAGACTTGATAATTATAAACTATTTAATACTTTAATAGTTAATACTAAAATATTAACTATTAACCTAAAAAAATCTAGAGTTTTAACAATTTAGGGTTATTCTGTTCAAAACGATGCCGTTTTGAGTGAAATAACCCATTTAAAAAAGAAGGGAACAATAGCTAATCGGCCGACTAGGCGACCTAGTTGGTGCCTAGGCGGCCTAGGCAGCGCTTAGCCGGCTTAGTTGGCCAGCCGCCTAGACCACCGATTATGGTAATATGCTAGGTGGCCGGCTAGCGCCTAGACGGGATTTTTGCAACACTGGTTTTGGCCTAATACGCATGGATAGATCAAGAAGTCTAAACACAGTTTTGTGATAGATACTCTTGGTCTTTTACACCTATTGTTTTACACTAAAAGCACACGGTCCAAACACCTATCGCTTTAATCAAAAGCCACATCATTTTGGTTTAAAATTAGGAAGCCTAAACATGTATCATTTTGGCATAAATAGTTAAATACATATAATTTATTCATTCAAACTTTTGCTTATTTATAGAAATAGCACAATGCTTCTTTTAAGCATAGATCTCTATCCTAACCTATTCCATTCCTTGTGGAATAGGATTCCTATTCCCCAAAAGTCATTCCATGAACTAAGCATGCTGTTAAGAGTTGAGAAAGGAGTGATTCAAAGAGTATTTAATTATGATATTGTGTAACTATGTGCTGCAAACTATGATACTGGTGTTTTTTGTTATGATACTACATGTCTTGAATGTTGTTATATATTTTTTTTTTTGAGTACTGCAATCTAACCTATATGCATGGTTGAAAAAATCACTAGGGGCTCGGGGGCCGCCGGCGATTAATCGGCGTCTAGGCACCCATGTATTTTTTATTTTTTAAAAATTTGTTTAAATTTCTTTAATTTTTTAAGACTTGATAATTATAAACTATTTAATACTTCAATAGTTAATACAAAATATTAAATATTAACCTAAAAAACATTAAGAGTTTGAACAATTTAGCGTTATTTTGCTCAAAACGATGTCTTTTTGAGTGAAATAACTCGTTTAGAAAAGAAGGGAACAATAACTAATCGGCCGACTAGGTCAGTCGGCTACCTAGACCACCGATTATGGTGATATGGTGATACGCTAGGCTGGCCAGCGCCTAGGCGGGACTTTTGCCAACACTGCCTATACGTAGTATTTGCTCAACATGATAATGTCAACATCCTTGATTGGGATGAGACACGACCTGAGACCTTCCGTTTTAAAAGACAGTGATGCCATCATACCACAAGGTACTTGGCTGAATGTTGATATAATTATGGGCACATACCCGTTTGGTACCATAGATTTCCTATTCTCCATATGTTGTATCCTCGGGAGATGGGGAAAGATACAGTTGCTTCATTTTAAACTAATCATAAAATTCTAGCAGGTGCAGGAGCAATAGAAGTGGTGGGTGCGCCTAAAATTCCTAAAAATAATAGGTGACAAGCAGCTACTTGCACATCTGGGTTAGTTTGCACTTTACAAGTGAAGAATTTACCAGCATCATCATTCTCATATTATTGCTTCTATTAGCCTTTTCTATTCTCTCCTTAGTACATGGTTGCTGAAAGCCTATTCTTGGGGTTTTCTCACAGATTGTACCAAATTGTTTTTTCCTAGAAATATGATTACACACTAGTTGGCTGCCAAAATATATGTTATTATATATAAAATATAAATCTGCTTACCCTTCTCTGATGCATAGAGCAGCATCACAGAGTATCAGAATAAGTGGGTAAACATTAATGCTTGAAGCAAAAAAGTCAACAATAAAAAAAAATGATTTTTGGCATGCTATTTTATTGTAGAGTTAAATGCAGGCAGGGTGAAATTGGGTGTACCATGGACAACAAATAAAGGACTAAGTGTGTTTGGTTCGACATTTTTGTATAATATTATCAAATTTGATTCAAATTACGTTATTCACTTATTTGTCTGCTTAACCTTGCTATTCTATTATCATATTCAAACCCATTACTAGGGGTGAGCATCCCTCGGTTATCGGTTAAAAACTGAAATAATCGATTTTTTTTTTAGAACCCCATAACTGATCGATAGCGGATATAGGCCATTACTAATAATAAGTGTTACTCTGTATTTTTTTCTTCCTTATTTTTGAACATCAAATTAAAAAATACAAAGAAAATAAGAAAAATTATACTTTTGATCCTTCAATTACTTAGTTATAAATGTGATCGTTATTTTAAAACATCTTTTAATTGTTTATTGAGTTGTAAATATACTTGTGAATTTTATGTATTATAGTACACAAGGAATGAGAATGAAAGTCATACCACATTGTTTGGTTAACAACACAAGTGGAGGATTTGATTATTCTTATAAAAACAAAACTCATTATTCATGTATTTGATGCTTAACATAATTATGCCACAAGGTACTTGGCACACACCCTTAATTTTAAATATTCATAAAATAATATGAGTTGAAATGTAAATATCATATTATGTTGTAGTAGCTATTAATGTTTGGAAGTAATGTTTTTTTTTTTTTTTTTTTTGAAAGAAAGGTTTTATGAATGTATTTTTGTAACTTTTTAAGCTTTTCTCAATTTGAAAGTGAAAGACAATATTTATAACTTGAGAATAATTAAGGGCCTAAAAATGTAACTTTTGAAAATAAAAATATAATTATCCTCCATGTGTTGTATATGAGTTACGATATTACATTCTTTGATATTTACGATATTTCTAATGAATTAGAAATATGAGTTACGATGTGTAAGAATTTTGTTTCCTTGTTATTTGTTAATTCTAACGGTAAATTAACAGAATTTTTAACGGAAGATTAATGGTGGCAATCAAATGAAAGTTATGGATGTAATATCGCAAAAATTAAAAGAATATGACTAAATGTGACAATGCTACGTTGAGAACAAAAAGTGAAAGTTGAAAGTTGCTACGTTGAGAACAAAAAGTAAAAGTTGCTCAAAGTCATTGATGTAATATGACAAAAGAGTGAATTATAATATTGGTCCTGTGACTATTGAGGTCTTATGAATTGCAATCCACGACTTTTAGAACTGTTAATTTAGTACCTTAACTATTCAATTTTTATCAATTTTGGTCACTCCAACTAAATTATTGGCTAAAACTCACCAAAAAATTTTAATAGTTAATATAATAAAGATATTTTAATCTTTTTGCACCTCTTTTCTTTCTCCTCATCTCTTCGCTGGAGATAACACCCAATTTCAAAAAAAAAAAAAAAAAGAAGAAGAAGAAAGAAAGTACAGTACTACAGTAACCTTTACATGTATACATTCATAGTTTTCTTCCTTTTCCAGTATAATTTTGATTAAGTATTGTTGTTTGCTGAATTCATGTGGATTTGGGTGCAAAAAATTTGTGGGGTTTCATGTCTCTGTACTATTCGCTTTCAGGCATATGTGAGATAAGTTAAAGCTTTGATTTTTATACTGCTTTCTTGATGTTTAGGGCAACTTTTGTACAGGAAGGATAGACTCATTTTCTATGGTAGTTGGAGAGATTTCCACTAAAGCCAATCACCAACATCTTCTTCTAGCATCACAAACCACCACCACCATATATATATATATATATATATATATATATATATATATATATATATATATATATATATATATATATATATATATATATATATAAATCGGTCTAGGCGCTAGGCGTCCTTAGACCGTGGCGATTTTACCCCTATGCGACCGGGCGCCTAGGCGTCCGCCTAGAATTCGGCCGACTTGGCCACCTAGCGTCTAACTTGGTCGAGTTAATTCGTCCATTTCGGTCGAGTTAACCCGGTCAACTCGACCTTGCTAGTTTTTTTTTTTTCATTATATATATATATATATATATATATATATATATATATATATATATATATATATATATATATATATATATATATATATATACACACAATCTTTAGATGATTTGAATCTTTGGATGATTGAAGTATTTTAGTATTTTTAATTTTTAATATTGTTTTGATGTTAGGACTTATGAATTATCATTATTTCATTTATTTGGATGTGTTATTTGATTTAATGTTGAAAACATCCTCATTAAAATTGTCAAACTGTAAGTCTGCCACTATTTTTTAGCTACCGCCTAGACCGCTTAAGTGCTAGGCGTTGCCCGGGCGCCGTCTAGACCGCTTAAACGCTAGGCGTTGCCCGGGCGCCAGACTAGCGCCTAGCGTCTACTACAACCATGAATTTTATATATATATAAAGTGTGAATGAAGGTTATACCCTTTATCTATGTCCATTTTTTCTGTTAATTTTTTTTTATACATTATGTTATAAAAGTTGTATTTTACAATATTTTGGACAAACATACCCCTATCGTTATAACTTCCGTTATCTTTTCCACAATTGTTACCATGCACATGCATCCACCATATATTTTCTTATCTTTTTTCAATAATAATAAATATATACACATTATATATTGGAGTTATATGTTAGTTACTTTTTAAAATATAAATATCAAATTTATAAAAATATTTTACATTATAATAATAATAATAATAATAATAATAATAATAATAATAATAATAATAATTATTATTATTATTATTATTATTATTATTATTATTTTGTGCATCGCGCATAAAAAATACTAGTATATATCTACTATACTAATAAGAGCCCAAGAGAGTTAGGCCGGGTAGAAAAAATGGCGGTCAAATTTTTTAATCAAATGAATGGCTCAGATTGATCAGATTTTAATTTTTCCTTAAGATTTTCTAATTTATCCTTAATGAATATGATTATCCGTTAACTTTTCCATTAAATATTATCTTTTCCGTTAATTTCTGTTAGTTCATCGTTAACTTACTCATTGATTTCAATAAGAAAGGTCTTAGGTTCGAACCTCATCCTAATCAAAGTTGGCATGATTAGTACTCTATTTTACTCTTATTAAATTAAATAATAATTTAGTAGCTACAACAAAAAAAAATAATAATGCATATGCATTCTTTAATTTAGAGTTATGTGTCTACAATATCTTTATTCAAAAAAAAAAAAAATTATTCATTTTTTTCTCCAATATAAAAATTCTTTACATTCAAATTCATCAATTGATTATATTCGCTACATTATCTCTACAATGTCTTTATTAAAAAAAATTATTCATTATCAATAAATTAATTAAGAGAAATAATTTTATTAGTTATATTGACTTTATATTTCTCCAATGTAAACATTTTTTATATTCAAATTTATCAATTGATTATATTCACTACATTGTCTATTATCTTTTTTGTGCACTATTTTTTAATTAAAGTTATAATACAAAATAATGCTATATATTTATTTACCAAGTATTTTATTAATACCATAAAAAAGTAAAAAAAAAATAATTAATAAAGCCAATCATATTAACTACTTGTGGAATTTGTTGACAAAAAGAGTATTCAAATCACACAACAAATTGAAGTGAGAACTACATCGCAATGTCGTTGTTTAACAATCAGCAGTTAGCGTTAGCGGACTATATTAGCGAATTTGACCAGCGAATTATATCAACGGTTGGTAAAAAAGATATTTGAAAAAATTAACTGTTTAGATTAACATGTTAAATGACGTAAGGGTATACATATATTTAATAATAATAATAATAATAATAATAATAATTGTTTTAAAAAATAAAAAAATAAAAAATATATAATTAAGCCAATCATATTAACTACTCGAGGATTTGTTGACAAAAAGAGTATTTAAATCACACACCAAATTGAAGTGGGAAACTATCTCGCAATGTCCTTGTTTGACAATCAACAGTTAGCTCTTCAATATTAGTATATATTTAATATTTTATGCCCTAATTTTTATTTGTTCTCCCTTATGTCCCGTATTTGGTTTCAACCATACCTATACAATTATTTTATTGACAATTATAATCAATCTTGACTATATTATCTTGCATTTGTAAACTTAGAATTGCCTATTTAAATATGCAAATTTAACATTCAATTATCTATGCATGAACAATTCTAATATAATATTGCATTTATATACTTTAAAGTACTTATGTAAAAGAAAAATATTGGGCATTATCCCAATCGCGCAATATGCGTAAAAAACTGGTATATATATATATATATTAAAAGTTCTCATTGCCACAACCAACCTTTATATTTTAGATTTGACAACCTACAACCCTCTTCACCGCTTAGAGCTATTAACTTCGCACGTGGACCACGGCCATAAGACTTCTTTTTTTGTTTTTTTTTTAGGAAATCATAAGACTCTTCTTAATTATGATATTTGAAAGAGGGAGAGAAAGTTGCATGGGAAACTGGTAAATGAAATAGCATGAAATATTATTATACGATTTTTTTTTAATTATGTTGAAAGTGAAAATTTCAATTTATTACTTATAGATTTTGTAGTAACCTGCAAAAAAAAATCAATTCATATATTTTTTTAAAAAAAGTCTTTGTTTTTTCACTTATCTCATATCGATGAGAGAAATGACGAATGGCGCCTTAAGACTCCCATAAAAGGAGCTGACTACATTTTTACAAATTGCTATGGTTAGATTTCTTAATTAAAGAGCCTTTTACAGTTAACTTTTTTTTAAATAAAAAAAAATGTTGAGGGTGTTTTGGAAAAGAGTTCTAGTACATAGACTCCTAAAATTCTACTCCCTCATTTATATTCCCTAAGGTGGCAAATTAGGATTGATTATTTTCTTTAGTAAATAAAAAAATATACAAGTTGGGAACTCAGCCTTTTGAGGTAAGGATTAGTTATTTTCATTACGTGAGTCCATAGAAAAAAGTCTACATAAAAAACATACTCCGTATAAGAGAGAATACAAGTTGGAAGTTTAAAATGGGAGTCCACCAAGTATTTTTATTGGAAAAAAATGCAGTCAGTTTAGCGGTACATAGTACAGACGTACAGTGTTTACAAACTGCCATTTTTGGTGTTGGACCTTGCTCAAAATGTCGAAATGGTGGATCTCCACCATTTACCAAACATGCTCCACCACGTGAATGTTGAATATTAGGTACAAAAAAACTCTGAAACGCTCAGATTCAAACCATTCACTCTCTCCTCCTTCCCACTAATCATCTTCCACACTCCAAAAATAGCCGTCACCGGTGGCCTGAGTAGGACTACATTACTCTCCGGCTGCCCATTTCCGATGGCTAGCTTGTCCACTGTTTCTACTCAGAACGACGAAGCCGTTTCGGACCCTACCGCAAAGCCCCCTCAGCCCTTGCAGGTATCCTAGTTTGCTTGATTCATTGTTTCCTCTTCCAATTAGGTTCTGCTAAACTGCTAGGAACTTGGTAATTGCTAATTGTATCTACTTCCGTGGCTATTTTTTGGTAATTCTGTTGCATTCATCCGCTATTTTGCCAACACATAGCTTTCTGCTTGCTCTTAAGATTGGGAATCTCACAAGTTAGGTGCTCAAGTAGCCAAGATGTTAGCTTAGCATGTATAGTCACTTCTTTTTTTCCTAGGTGCATTAGAGGGAGATAATAACTTAATACATTGTTAGTATAATACTATAATATACATGTGATGGAACACATATAATGATGCACTAATTTTATGAAATCAGTGAGCCGTAGATTAAGGAAACTGGAAAATTCTCCTGTTATTAAACAAGCCCCATGATCTCTTAAAGTGGATTTCAACCTTATAGAAATTACATAAATGGATAAATAATTCTTTCTAATTTTCTCCTTATTTGGTCTTTCTTTCCAGGTTGCAAAGCGCTTGGAGAAGTTCAAGACTACAATTTTCACCCAAATGAGTATGCTTGCCATCAAGTATGGAGCTATAAATCTTGGCCAAGGCTTCCCCAATTTTGATGGCCCTGAATTTGTAAAAGAAGCAGCCATTCAGGCAATCAGAGATGGTAAAAATCAATATGCTCGGGGATATGGTGTTCCTGACCTCAATGCTGCTGTAGCTGCACGATTCAAGAAAGATACCGGCCTTGATATTGACCCAGAGAAAGAAGTCACTGTTACCTCTGGTTGCACTGAAGCGATTGCCGCAACCATGTTAGGCTTGATAAATCCTGGTGATGAGGTCATAGTTTTTGCTCCTTTCTACGACTCTTATGAAGCTACTTTGTCTATGGTTGGTGCAAAAGTAAAGTGCATTACTCTACGCCCCCCAGATTTCTCTGTCCCCATTGATGAGCTGAAATCAGTTATATCAAAAAGTACTCGTGCAATCCTCATAAACACCCCACATAACCCAACAGGAAAAATGTTTACCCAAGAAGAACTCAATGTGATTGCCTCACTGTGCATTGAAAATGATGTTCTGGTTTTCACTGACGAAGTTTATGACAAGTTGGTTTTTGAAATGGAGCACATTTCCATGGCTTCTCTTCCAGGAATGTATGAAAGGACTGTTACCATGAATTCATTGGGGAAGACATTTTCACTTACAAGCTGGAAAATATGTTGGGCAATAGCTCCCCCACATTTGACCTGGGGAATAAGGCAGGCCCATTCTTTCCTTACTTTTGCTACATCTACTCCGATGCAATATGCTGCTGCAACAGCTCTCAGAGCACCAGATTCTTATTATGTGGAGCTTAAGAGGGATTACTCAGCAAAGAAGGCCATATTGGTGGATGGGTTGAAGGCTGCAGGCTTCACAGTGTATCCATCAAGTGGAACATACTTTGTAATAGTGGATCACACTCCTTTTGGGTTGAAAGATGATGTTGCGTTTTGTGAGTATCTCATAAAGGAGGTTGGAGTTGTAGCCATCCCAGCCAGTGTTTTTTATCTAAATCCTGAAGATGGCAAGAATCTTGTAAGATTTACCTTCTGCAAAGATGAGCAGACACTCAGAAGTGCTGTTGAGAGGATGAAAGAAAAGTTACCAAAGAATGAAAAGAAGCCCCAACAGGTATTCTTTAATCTTTACTTTACTGCTCCACAGGGAAAGTCTATGGTGTCCACATTTATCATCCTTAATAATGCATGGCATCACAACAAAAAGGAACATGATACACTGTATATAATACATAGCATCCCATTGAACTAAAGCTAAATATTAATGGTATATTGGTATCAAAACAATAACATGTTTGGTTCATGGAATAACATTTTTAGGAATAAACATATTTCATTGTTTGTTTGGGCTTTTTATTCCTAGGAATAATTCTAGGGAATGAGCTATTCTCTTCGTAAGGGAAATAACCATTCTTAAGGAGAGTTTGGTATTAGCAAACATACTATACCATTATGTTGAAACACAAAAGTTGTGTCTGTAGAAATATAGCTGTTGAAGTTGTGTAGGGTTGTGTCTGTAGGATTGTGTCTCTTAGTCTGTATATATTTATCTGTTGTCTCCTCATTGAGACAAGGAAGTAATATAACAAATCTTTCTACATCTCTCTCAACATGGTATCAGAAGCCAACAATTTGATTTTTTTTTTTTTTATCGGTGAACAGTAACAAGTACTGTTCATCCGAAACTAGTTTCTCAGATTACTCCCTAAAGGTGTGCTCTTTTGTCAAAATAATACTACAACCCTCCTCTCCAGTCTCCGGCGACCCCGACCCATCTTTTCCGGTCGCCGAAACACCGCCCACGCGCCACCACGTCGCTGGCGCTCCGACACCACACGCCGGTGCGTGAGGCTGTCTCCGGCGGGTTTTTCCGGCGAAACTTCCCAGTCCGGCTCGTCGGCCCTCTGCAATTTCGTCTGTACCATCAGATTTCATTTTGGTCGCGATGTCTTCCGACGAAAATTCTTCGGGTATTTCTCCTGCCAATAATTTACCTACTTCTTCGAGCTCTGTTTATGTGCCTAATTTGTCTGGAAATCCGGTAATCACTTCTGAAAAATTATGTGGTTCTCAAAATTACCACTCTTGGTCGGATGCCGTAGAATTATGGTTTATGGGCCAAGGTGTTGTTGATCACTTGCAAAAAGGAGTGGATATGATACCGGAAAAAGAAAAGACAGTTTGACAAATGTTAGATGCTCAACTTTGTAGTCTCCTTTGGCAGTCTCTTTCTCCACAATTGTTGCCTTTATTCCGGCCCTTTAAGACATGTGTCGAGGTGTGGAGTCAAGCTCAATCTCCGTACACTAATGGTGTCTCTCAATTCTATAATGTTGTTGACAATTTGGTTAACTTGAAGAAAGATGGTATTGATATGGAAACTTTTCTTGGCAAAGCCCAAAGTTTGATTGCTGAGTTTGGTACACTCATGCCTATTGGTGGTACACCCGCAGAGCAACTTACCCAACGAGAGAAATTCTTTGTAATACTTCTCTTAACCAAATTAGGTCCAGAATTTGAAAGCATCCGGAATCAAGTTCTTGGAAGCAACACTGTCCCGGGGACCACCGAGTTGTTCAAACGGCTCTTGCAGGTCACCTCCATTCCAGGTACTCACACATCCACTATCGAACATTCTGCTCTAGTCACACAAGGAGGTCGTGGATGAACTAACAATCGTGGTGGACAGAAAAACACTAGAGTTTGTGATTATTGTAATAGAACTGGGCACACACGAGATCAGTGTTGGAAACTTCATGGGAGACCGGTACGTACCCAAGCAAGTGTTGCTCAATCTCAACCTGGGGAACCAAATTCTCAAACCATTTCCGCTGCTGAGTATGAAGAGTTTGTTCGATTTAAAGCCACTCCCAAAGCTTCCGGTTTAACTCCTGCAGCCCACACTGATGGAACTCATACTGCCCTTGTATCACAATCTAGCCTGAGCGGACCATGAGTTATCGATTCAGGTGCCTCTGAGCATATCTCTGGTAACTCATCTTTATTTTCTCATTTCACCAAGTCTAAGTCTCTTCCATTTATTGTTTTCGGTAACGGGTCCAAGAGTACGGCTACTGCAATTGGAAAGGCTTTCCCCCTTCCTACTTTGCCTCTCTCTTCAATTCTTTATATACCTAATTGTCATTTCAATTTAATTTCTGTTCATCAACTTACAAAATCTTTGGACTGTACGGTCACTTTTTCTTCTGATTCTGTCATTATGCAGGACCGTTGTTCGGGGAAGATGATTGGCTCGGGGTATGAATCAGAAGGACTTTATCGATTATCTACCCCAAAACCTTCTACAGTTTGCACTGCTACCATTCCTCCTTCCCTTGCCCATGACCGACTAGGACATCCTAGCCTTAATAAATTACGGCGACTTGTCCCTAGTTTGTCTCACTTATCTACCCTAGAGTGTGATGCTTGTCAGCTTGGCAAACATTCTAGAACATCGTTTCCTAATCATGTTAATAAAAGAGATGCTTTCTTTTTTTTCCTTAGTTCATACTGATGTTTGGGGACCTTTTCGTTATAATTCAATTCTTGGTTTTAAATATTTTGTTACCTTCACTGATGATTTTTCTCGTTGTACATGGGTCTTTTTAATGCAAAATCGTTCTGAAGTGCTTAATGTACTTCAAAAAAATTGTTAATGAGATAAAAAATCAGTTTGGGTGTCTATTAAAACTTTACGAAGTGATAATGCTGGAGAATACTTTACAACCTCCTTTATCTAACTTTCTTGATTCAACGGGCATCCTCCATGAGTCATCTTGTCCCGATACTCCACAACAAAATGGGGTATCTGAACGTAAAAACCGGCATCTCGTTGAAACAGCCCGCACCATGATTCTCCACTATAAAGTCTGGGCAGATGCTCTCCTTCATTCCTGTTATTTAATAAATCGTATGCCTTCATCTGTTTTACATGGTAAAATACCTTATAATATTTTATTTCCCGATAAGCCCCTTCATACTCTTCCTTTAAAAATTTTTGGGTGCAACTGTTTTGTCCGGGACACTACCCCAGGGCGTGATAAATTTTCCCCAAAATCCTTAAAATGCATGTTTGTTGGGTACTCTAGGTTGCAAAAGGGTTTCAGATGTTATTCCCCTGATAAACATCATTTTTATGTATCTTCTGATGTTACTTTCTTTGAATCAACACCTTTCTTTTCGTCTAGTTTACCGACCCCATCTCTCATTTTCCTGATGTTCTTCCTGTTCCTACTTTTCAAGGAGGGACCGGGGTACATTTACCTCAAGATCCGTCATCACCTAGAAATCCTAGTCCCTCACCTATTGAACCTCCTTTACAAAACAACAGTGTTACCCCTTTTCCTTACACTTATCATCGCCGCTCTCGACCACCCGCGACAGTTCAAATCGATGAAATCCCAACTGATTCATCTCTCGAGCTATCTATGTCGTCGAACCCGGTTCCAGCAACAAGCTCTCCTATCGCAAGTTGTGTAGGTAATAGGTCATCACGAAACCCCTTTCCTATATACAACTTTATTTCATATGATCGTCTCTCACCTTCATATAATGCTTTTATCACATGTTTATCTTCTGTTTCTACCCCTAAATCTGTTAAGAAGCCCTTTCCCACCCTGGTTGGCGTCAGGCTATGGTTGATGAAATGGTTGCTCATCATTCATCGGGGACTTGGGAGTTAGTTCCATTACCCGAAGGTAAAACAACTGTTGGTTGCCGATGGATCTATACTGTGAAAGTTGGGCCCAATAGACAGGTTGATAGACTTAAATCTTGACTGGTAGCCAAAGGATATACACAGGTTTTTGGGATTGATTACACTGACACCTTTTCACCAATAGCTAAAATTGCTTCGGTCAGAATCTTTCTTTCTATGGCTGCTGTTCATCATTGGCCCTTGCATAAGTTAGATATTAAAAATGCCTTTCTGCATGGAGATTTAGAGGAAGAAGTCTACATGGAGCAACCTCCTGGTTTGTTGCTCAGGGGGAGAGTAACTTGGTTTGTAAGCTCAAACGTTCTCTCTATGGTCTAAAACAATCTCCTCGTGCCTGGTTTGGACGGTTCAGCATAGTAGTGCAAAATTTTGGTTTAAATCGAAGCAAACTTGACTATTCCGTCTTTTATAAACATCAACATGGTAAGAGCATTTATCTTGTTGTATATGTTTGATGATATTATCATTATAGGAGATGATGTTGAAGGAATACAATTGTTGAAACAACATCTATTCCAACATTTTGAAACAAAAGATCTCGGGAAGTTAAAATACTTTTTGTGAATCGAAGTAGCACAATCCAAGCAAGGAATTTGCATATCACAAAGAAAGTATGCATTGGATATACTAGAAGACACATGTATGATAAATTGTAAACCTCTTGACACTCCTATGGATCCAAATATCAAACTCCTACCAGACTAGGGGGAGCTTATCCAAGATCTGGGAAAATATAGACGATTGGTTGGAAGATTACTTTATTTAACTGTAACTCGACCTGATATCTCTTTTGCAGTAAGTGTTGTTAGTCAGTTCTTGGCATCTCCACGTGAAAGTCATTGGGAAGCTGCCATTCGGATTTTACGATATATTAAAAAATCTCCAAGCACTGGTTTGTTATACAAAGACCATGGAAACCTTGAAATTATTAGGTACACAGATGCAGATTGGGCATGTGCATGGGATAGAAAATCAACATCTAGATATTGTATCTTTCTTGGTGGCAACTTAATCTCTTGGAAAAGTAAAAAGCAAAATATTGTTGCTCGATCAAGTGCAGAAGCCGAATATCGATCTATGGCCGTTGGAACATGTGAACTTGTGTGGTTGAAAAACCTCCTTACCGAACTGCAGATTTGTACAAAGGAGTCCATGAAGCTCATTTGTGATAACCAATCAGCTTTGCATATTGCATCAAATTCAGTTTTTCATGAAAGGACGAAACACATTGAAATTGATTGTCATTTTGTTCGAGACAAAATTACTTCAGGAGATAATACTACATCTTTTATAGGCTCAAATAATCAATTAGCTGATATATTTATTAAAGTTTTAAGAAGTCATAGGATTGAATACATTTGTAACAAGCTTGGTGTATATGATATATATGCTCCAGCTTGAGGGGGAGTGTTGAAACACAAAAGTTGTGTCTGTAGAAATATAGCTGTTGAAGTTGTGTAAGGTTGTGTCTGTAGGATTGTGTCTCTTAGTCTGTATATATTTATCGGTTGTCTCCCCCATTGAGACAAGAAAGTAATATAACAAATTTTTCTACATCTCTCTCAACACATTATACATATATAACATATAATACACACACACACACACACACATACACACACACACATATATATATATAACTGTGTGTGTGGGAAAAATTATACTTTTGATCCTTCCTTTTTTTCTCAAGTTATATATTTAGTCCCTCTCTTTCAATACTTAAATGAAAAACGCAGTGACAATTTTGTATAAATGCAGAACTTTCATTCCATCATTTAGACATTTAGGGGGACTAGCATATTTGTAAATACATAGAAGTTTTTCACGCATCAATTTTGCGATAAACCACATCATTTTGGAGAAAATGGTCATTGTTTTGGCCTAATAGGCATGGATAGATCAAGAAGTCTAAACACACAATTTTGTGATAGATACACTTGGTCTTTTACACCCATTGTTTTAGACTAAATGCACACGGTCCAAACATCTATCGCTTTAGTCAAAAGCCACTTCATTTTGGTTTAAATACACATGCATAGATTAGGAAGCCTAAACATGTATTGTTTTGGTATAAATACATATAGTTTATTCATTCAAACTTTTGCTTATTTATAGAAATAACACAATGCTTCTTTTAAGCATAGGTCTCTCCTATTCCATTCCTTGTGGAATATGATTCCTATTCCCCAGAAGTCATTCCATGAACTAATTAAACATGCTGTTAAGAGTTGAGAAAGGATTGATTCAAAGAGTATTTAATTATGATATTGTGTAACCAAGGCTGGACTTTGGGTTGTGCAAGTTGGGCTACAACACAACTTGCACAAAATTTTAAAGGATCAATATTTAATTTTTACCTAATTAGTTTAGAAATAAAAACTAAGGGGGCGTTTGGTTCACGGAATGTTAGATTACCTTAGGGAATGTTAGATTGCTGGGAATGTTAGATTCCTATGTTTGGTTTAAAACTAAGATATGTAAATAAGACAACGGTAATAAGATAAATTGATTAAAACGTCCAAATTAAAGCCCAACATTAGTAATAAGACAATGGAATGTGAAATTACCTAAGAAATTGGAGGGTATCTCACATTCCCTTCAAATAGCTAAAAACTTACTGCGGAGGTTATCTGACATTTCATGGGAAAGTTACATAAACTGAACCAAACATGGGAATCTTATATTACCAAGCAAATATAACTTTGGTTATCTTATATAACCTGAACCAAACGCCCTCTAAAAGTTTTCAATTAAACTTAAAAGGCTTCATGCAGAAATGGTAGGAACTTGTGTTTATTGTATTTTAACTTGGAGGTCAGACGTCAGAGGTTCGAAACTGGTGTTTTTTGTTATGATACTACATATCTTGAATGTTGATTTTTTTTTTTTTTTTTTGAATATTATTACAATCTAACATATACGTAGTATCTCCTCAACATGATAATGCCAACATCCTTGATTGGGAAAGGTAATAGTGAAACTGGCGTTTTTTGTTATGATACTACATTTCTTGAATGTTGATTTTTTTTTTTTTTTTTTTTTGAGTATTACAATCTAACTTATACGTAGTATTTGCTCAACATGATAATGCCAACATCCTTGATTGGGAAAGGTAATAGTAATGTCATCATATTAAGACTCTATGTATTTGAGTTAGTTTATGACTCCCTATCCTAGTCTTCCAGTGATTTTCTCACTGTATATATTCCTGTAATTTGTATGATTCATTCAATAGAATCATTATGTTCTCATTTCTTGTTCTCCTGGCTGACGGATCCGTTAATTCCTCTTAACGGACCCGTCTTAGATGCCGCTATCACCTCCTCGGTTTCTACGGCCGTCAATTCCCTGTCCACTACTCATCATTTTATCAGTATCAAATTAACAAATAAGAATTTTCTGTTTTGGATGACTCAAGTGGTTCCGTTTTTACGTAGTCATAATCTCATAGGGTTCGTTGATGGCACAAACCCTAGTCCATTGTTCATGGTTGCTGGCAACGACGGCAGCACACCGCAACCGAACCTGGCATCCGCGACTTGGGTGCGCCTGTGATACCCCGATTTACACTAAGGAAAATAAGTATTTAATTGGGAAATGATATTAAACCATTAATCTTTATAGCATAAAAACTCACTAATTTTCTTTGTGTTGAGATTTGACCCCTAAACCTTTCCTTATGAATTCCAAAATCTTTACCATCAAGCTATTACAACTGTTGTTTCTAGCCTCGTTTGATTACAAATTAGTATGATGCTAAACTATTAATATGGTATAAATATTATTATTTTTAAATAATTAACTATACAGTCCATAATTAACTATACGGTATGTAGTATATCTATCTATCTACTATACTAATAAGAGGCAAAAGAAATTAGATTTATAATGGGTAGAAAAAAATATCCATCAAATTATTAAATTAAATGAATGGTTCAGATTTTAATTTTTCCTTGAGATTTTCAAATTTATCCTTAATTAAATGATTTCAATAAGAAAGATTTTAGGTTTGAACCCTATCACAATCAAAATTACCTTAAAAATTATATTCTCTATTAACTTACTCAGAGTGTGTTTGGTTCGCACATGGGAATCGGAATCGGAATGAGTATCAAATACTTGGTAAAGGTAATGAGTTTTGGTGAAAGTATTTTGCATGTTTGGTAATAGGCTGGAATGAGAATGATTATCAATATTGCTATTTAATTATGTAAGAGGGGGAATAATAGAATGAAACCCTTATTTTATTAGAGAATGAGTTTTTCAATTAAGGGGGGTAATCAAAACCCATAGTAGTGTTTTCAAAACCTGTTGATGTGTATAAAATCACCGTAGTTTAGTACAGTAAAGTGATAGGTTGACCGATCGTAGAATATGACCGGGAACCTCTAGATTACAATGTGTAGGTAGGTGAAAAGTCCTCCCTCAATAATAAATGCAGTATTTATAAGAGACATAGGGAGCAGCATCCGGTCCTCTGGCATAGCGAGCACGTGGCGTTCATGCACCGGGTCCGGAGAAGGCGAACATGCAGCCGTACACGTGGTGCACTCCTCCTGACAGTAGCAGAACCTTGCTCCTACCGGTTGTCCTTCCCGGTCATCGATCTTAGAGGCGCGGGGCCCGCGAGATGCTCTGCCTCGTGAGTACGGTCGGGCGTCCGGGGAAAGACTGCGGCGAGCCGTTGACCGTGCTAGATGACAAGGGTGACCGGGCGGACCTGGCAGATACTGCTGACTGGGCTAGACGACCTGTATAGGCAGGGTATAATCCCCATCACCTGTCAACCAAACAATAACAATGACTTTGATACCGATTTCTGATAGTTAAACCTGTCAACCAAACACACCCTCATTGATTTGAATAAGAAAGGTCTTAGGTTTGAACTTCATTCCAATCAAAGTTGACATAATTAATACTCTATTTTATTTTTATTAAATTAAATAATTTAGTAGCTACAAAAAAAAAAAGTAATATATATGCATTTCTTTAATTTAGAATTATGTGTCTACAATGTCTTTATTCAAAAAAATAAAATAAAATTCTATCAATAAATTAAATAAGAGAAATAATTTTATTAGTTATATTTATATTGTCTTTATTTTTTTCCAATGTAACTTTACATTCAAATTCATCAATTGATTATATTCATTATATTGTCCCTACAATGTTTTTATTCAAAAAAATATTCATTATCAATAAATTAATTAAGAGAAATAATTTCATTAGTTATATTGTCTTTATTTTTCTCTAATGTAAAAAATTTTTATATTCAAATTCATCAATTGATTATATTCACTACATTATCTATTATCTTTTTTTTTGTACACTATTTTTTAATTAAATATCAAAGTTATAATACAAAATAATGTTATATATTTATTTACCAAGTATTTTATTAATACCATGAAAAAATAAAAAATATAAGTAAGCTAATCATATTAATTAGTTGGGGGATCTATTGACAAAGAGAGTATTCAAATTACATGACAAATTGAAGTGGAAACTACCTCGCAATATCCTTGTTTGGCAATCAGGCAGTTATCGTTAGCGGATTGTGTTAGTAGTTAGCAAATAGCGGATTATATAAGCGGGTTTGACCAGCGAATTATATAAGCGGGTTTGACCAGCGAATTATATTATCGGTTGGTAAAAAATATTTGAAGCAATTAGCTGTTTAGATTAACATATAAAATGACTTAAATGGTATACATAATAACAATAACAATAACAATAATTCAGTAGTGTGATTACTGTTCTACTTGGGCTATTTATTACCCAGTTGCTTGGACTCCACTTGGGGGTGTACACATAGGTTATGATCCAGTTTTCAAATTGTTTGAGTGGTAGTCGGTAGGAAAAACCTAACTACTTGGGTCATATACTACTCAATGGGCTTGGAATCTCTTGTGGGTGTGCATATAGGTTCTAGTCCAGTTTTCAATATGGTTACGGTTTTGAAAGAGTGCTATTTCTCCATATTTTGAAAATAGAAGAAAATATTATCTTGGTACAATTTATATATTATGGTTGAGGAAAAAAAATTACTTTTGGATATAAAGTTTTGGAGTGAGTACAAAAGGTCTATTCGCTACATATTTTGGAAAAATATAAATATTTTACAAGGTGGAGTAAACTTTACTTAGCAAAGTGTTGCTAACTTTGTGTGTTGTGTTTGTATGTCTTAAACATTATATGTATACAGGTAATTAATCTGGGATTATGATGAAAGAGAGCGTGGCTATGAGTTGATCAGGATGATAGTTTGTTTTCAAGGAGAAAGATTGAAATGTAATAGTTAGAAATTATAGTATTCGACTATTTTGTGATTAGCCTTGCATTTAGTATTGATAGATTAGATGTAGTGGTAGCACCCTATAAACTATGAACTATTTAAGACATTGAAGTATTATTTATAAGAAAATCTATTTTTGGTAAATTCTATTTATAGCAAGTTTGAGATGTAATGTTATAAAAGGAAAGTTTGGGAAGTTAAAATTTTGGGGTGTTTCAACGCCATGATCAGGTTGTAATGTCCATGATCATCTCCTCTCTTTCGTTGGAAGTGATGCACCTTGTTGTCGGTCCAAGGAGGTCTGGGTCGCCGTTGAGCAGTTTTTGCGTCCTCGTCTCTCCATCTCCTTGAATTGGCAAGTTGTAGTCTCTTAAGCAAGGGGATTCCTCGATGGCTGACTACATTGGACGTGCTCAGATCAGACGGTGGTTGAAGAACTTGTATTCGCCGGCCGATCAGTCTCCCTTGACGAACAAAATCTATACGTTTTCAGGGATTTTCGCCTGAAGTTTAATTTCGTGCCTTAACTTACAAAATCTGTACGTTTTCAAGGGTCTTTGCCTGAACTTTCGTGCCTTAACGACGTCCCTTGCCGTTCGGGGACAGCTGGTTTCTCTCCAGGAGCTCGCCATCTTCTGCGAGGATTATGGCGGGTCTGGTGGAGGCGCGTAGTCGCCGGCGGCGTTTTCTGCACAATATATTTGCCTATATATACTTTAAGGGCGTTCTATAAAATATTTTGAACTTAAGCGTTGAGGACAATTTCAAGCATTAACATCTGGTTTGGTCCCACAATTTGTTAAAGCTTTTTAATTTAGGATTAGGAATAATATCTTAAAACATGAGTTATTCCCCTCGTTATTATTAGGAGATTAGTATTCCACTATTTTTGAAAATTTAAGAATTTCTTTTACTTTTAACATCTAAACTGTCCACATTTAATTAAAATTAAAATTTAAATAAATAAAGAGTAAATCCCACTTTTACTCATGAACAATTGTGACATTGTCATTTTAGTCTTATTCTTTTAATTTTGTCATATTATATCCATGACTTTGAGCAACTCCCAATTTTAGTTATCGACTATTATAACATTGCCACATTTAGTCATTTTTTTTTTTTTTTAAATTTTGCCATATTACATCTATGGCTTTGAACAACTTTCACTTTTAGTTCTTGATTATTGTGGCATTGCCACATTTAGTCATATTCTTTTAATTTTGTCATATTACATCCATGACTTTCATTTGACTGTCACCATTAGTCTTTCGTTAATTTACCGTTACAATTGACAAATAACAAAAGAAAAATCCTTACACATATTGTAACTCATATTTCGAACATATTAGAAATTAAATATCGTAAATATCAAAGGATGTAATATTATAACTCATAGGAATATGAGTTACGATATGCGTACGGATTTTTTCCTTTGTTATTTGTTAATTTAAGGATACCATTGTGTTTCAATATCGTAACTCATATTTCGAACATATTAGAAATATCGTAAATGATTATCTTAGCTTTCCTTCGACACTTGAATCACCTTAATTAGACTTCGTATGAAAGAGATAATACCAAAATACTATCAACATGTTGTAAGGTCGTGTCCCTAGATGTGTCAAAATCTGTCCATTTTTTACCCTTATTTTTCCTGAATATATTAAATTCCTGTACATGAAAGTTGTAGGCCATTTTCTTATATTTTCATGGACACTTGAATTACATCAATGGGATATTTTATGTAAGAGATATAATCAAAATACTCTCATCAGCATGTCACAAAAGTGCACATTTTGCCATTTTTTCTTCAAAATTTCTAAAAATCAAATATTAATGAATTAAGCTCCATATTCCACCAAACAAAAAGAGACACAAGCAAACTAATGTAAATAAGGTATTAAAGAAATACTAGTAACTTACCCGTGCGATGCACGATCATTAAATATGGCCTATTAGTAATTCAAGATTATCGTCGTTATCAATTATCACGACGGTTTGTGGGTCTACCTTAGTAGGGTCTTTTATTAGTCTAGAGGATTGTTCGATCGGTTTGGAGGTAGTAGGTCTTCCACCTCTAACTGAAAGGGAAATACTTAGTGTACTTCTATTTTATACTCTCGATCAATTTTTATTCCACTTACATGTTCTTGATGTAAACACTTTTTTTTTGGACCCACATGATGGAAATTAGTCAATCCTTGTTCGTCATCTGAGGTAGTACAAACCAGGGAATAGAATTTTGGAGTTTGTATAATAGAACTCTAAGTGGAATACCTTGATGTCATTCCAAAGTTCATGGTGGGCGACCAGTGGTTGGAGAACATTCCAAAAAAAAAAAAAAAAAAAAAAAAAAAAGAAGAAGGAGCAACATAGATTAGAATGTACTAAGATACAACTAAGTATGGAAAATAACCTTAAACATGACTAAGTTTGGGATGAGGGATAAACGAGTAGTCTTATCCTGTTGGATTGCTCAGGTGGTGGGGAGAAGTCGTCAGTGGTGTCCTCGGTTACGTTGGTAGAAGGGAGGACTCGGGAGAGCGTTGTCTGCTTACTACAATGACTTCTTCCATGGAGTCGTCATTCAAAAGGAAAAAAAGTGATTGGTTAATGCATGAAAAAGGTTAAAAAAAAAAAAAAAAAAGGAAAGGAATTGAAGACTGGTTAGGCGAGTGAAAGAATTGGCAAAATGGGGGAAAATGGCTAATGGGTTGTCAGGGGCGCAGGTACATTGGGGCACATATATAACCCTTTTATATATATATATATATATATATATATATATATATATATATATATATATATATATATATATATATATATAGTATAAGGTTTAGTATAAGTATAAAAAAATACATAAAAGTTAATAATTAAGAGATGGTTCGATCAGCTGGCAAAGCACATGTTTAATCTTAAGAGAGATCATAGTTTGTATCCTTACAGACTTAGGCTTCTCTTTTCAACACAGAGAGTTTGATGAGATTTACACATATACATAATTTTTAAATATTAATTAATGATGATGAGATTTACACACATACATAACCTTCTTTTATGAATATATTTTAAGTGTTTCATTTTTATTTTTTTCATCAAATTATCTCTTTTGTTTTAATGTATTTTGCCCTCATTGAAAAAAGTTTCTAGATCCGTCCCAGTGGGTTGCCAAAGAGGAGACTTGTGGGTAGCCACTAGGGATGGCAACAGGGCGGGGCGGGGGATATATCCCCCGCCCCCGCCCCCCGCAATCCAACCCCACTCCCCATACCCGCACCCGCACCCGTGCGGGTAATGAAATTCCTTCCCATACACGCCCCCGTGGGGATTTTGCATGTAACCTTAGTCTCATTAATAATATGAAACTTATATCTAATAAAATTTTTATTATTACAATTTATAATATTAATGGATCAAAGTTTTCACCAAATAACTACCAAACTTAAATATTACATTTGCTTCCAACTTCAACATTAGTGTATAAAATCTTAGCCACTAGCACCAAAAAATAATTAGAAGCTGTAATATATATTAGTGAGTTAGGATCTTCCCTTACTGCCCAAAAATCTAACAGATTAAATAAATAACATAATACTTTGATATTGACTTAAATATAATAACACAATACATATATATATATATATATATATATATATATATATATATATATATATATATATATATATATATATATATATATATATATATATATATATATATGCGGGGGCGGGTGCGGGGCGGGGATACCTCTCCCCGCACCCGCCCCATACCCGCGCGGGTTTAAAACTTTTCCCCCATACCCGCACCCATTACTCAAATTATGCGGATATTTTATTACCCATTGGGGCGGGGATGCGGGTAACCCGTTGGGTGCGGGTAGAATTGCCATCCCTAGTAGCCACACTTGGAGCCGGAGGTAATAACTTAGCATTGCTGAGGGGCAATTTATATCCTGCACCATGGCGCGCGTTGCATTGTGCGCCCAGATGCAAAACGACGTTATTTTAATTTTTAATTTTTTTTTTTAAAATTTTGCTACCCCGTGTTTGACAGTTAATTTTCCTTAAAAAAATCTCATGTTCAAGAATGTACATAATATTATACTAGAATACACATAATTGTATACATGAATGTACATAATTATATAACAAAATACACACTCTTTTTTAAAAGATAATACACATAATCTAACATAATCTATATATATATATATAAGTAAAATCCTCCTAGCCAAGTTTTCCCCCCAAAACTTAGAGGCATTTTTGTAATATCAAATATTTAGACAAATATGGCATTTTAATAATATTAAAGATTTTACCTTTCTTGAGATCTCTTACCATTTTATAATTTCAATACTAAACCCTTTTGATCTCATCCATTGTGTATAAATACACCTTATATGACCATACACAACCCCAACTAAGGTTAATTATTTTATTGATTTTTGCTAATCATCCTGTGATCTTACACAGTTGAGGTTGATACGTGATTTGCACTGGTGAGGTTTTCATTATTTTAGTTTCTTTAATTTTTTCTTCTTTTTGGGTTTTGTTTTGTTTTTATTCTTTTGTATTTTCTGATTTTTAAACAACAAAAGTGGTTCGTAAGAAAAAAAGTTGATATATTCTTTTCTTTTTTTGTCTATTTTTGTAGAGAAGATACGGATCTAGAAAGATTGATCGGGAAGCAATAGACTTCTAATCATCCTGTGATCTTCCACAGTTGAGGTTGATACGTGATTTGCACTGGTGAGGTTTTCATTATCTTAGTTTCTTTTATTTTTTCTTCTTTTTGGGTTTGTTTTGTTTTTATTTTTTTGTATTTTTTGATTTTAAAAAACAAAAGTGGTTCGTAAGAAAAAATGTTGATATATTCTTTTTTTTTGGTCTATTTTTGTGGAGAAGATACTATACGGATCTAGAAAGATTGACCGGAAAGCAATAGACTTTTAATCATCATGTGATCTTCCACAGTTGAGGTTGATACGTGATTTACATTGGTGAGGTTTTCATCATCTTAGTTTCTCTTATTTTTTCTTCTTTTTGGGTTTTGTTTTGTTT